ACTGGCCATGCTTAATTTTGATTTCTGATATGATAGAAAATGAATAATAAGCTCTAATACTGGTTCATTTGTACTTCCTCAAGTTGGGATATTACAAGGTAATGGCAAAGCAGCTTAGTTCTACTAAAAACACAGTCCATCCTAAAAATCACACCAGTATGACGGGTGAGCAATATGACTACACTTGTTACTGCAATAAACTGTCACATATATGCGCTTTTCTGGGCATATCCCAGATATTGTTAGCACTTAAAGAACACTGGCCAACTGTATACTTCATACCAGCCCTTTCTGTCCCTTCTAACAAACCACAAAATACCATGATGCATACTGCATATCGTGAAAATGTCTTAAGGCATGTATGTCCTATTTTTGCAGTACTGCCCTTCCCGACAACATCATGGCAACCATAACGAGTTTGAAAAAAAGATCACATTCAGAAATAGTCCCGTTTCCATCTATTTCACCGAAGAGCTTTCCTCTAATTATATAGAACATATTAGCATTGCCACATACGACGTTTAATAATACCAACTAAACTTCAGAAGGAAAACAGAAAAATCAAACACAGGCACGGTTACAAGCGACAAGACTGAAGTCTTCGATTAATTCAATGTAATTCACTGCCAAGAACTGAACTGTCACTGGACACCAACGCGGGCTTTAACTCATCACGGGATTTTTCTGGAAAAAGCTGTGTAATCGACCGCACACAAAAGTAATTCTTTGTATCTCGTTAGTCTTGAAGATTCAAACCTGGTCAGAAGACTCGGTTTGGATACTTTTTCCCCCTCAGTCAGTTCAGACATCGGCTAACATGAACACAGAGTAAAAGAGCGACTTTGGTACAAAGAGCTACTAACGTTCAGACTGAATCTACTAAGTAACTAACGTTAGTCATGTGGGCAAATGTAGCAGGAAGATGACGGGGTGCTTGGCTGAGTTTATCAGACGAAATAAGAACACACGCAAATATTTTCCGAGTAAATGTATTAAAATTGACAAAGATAACTAACGACGATTAAGCGTCCATTATATGTTAGCTTACTGCTAACAAGTAAGTGTACACATCTTGCTAGTCAACTAAACCAAATAATTTGCCTTGTGGACAAAAATGCTAGCCATTTTTAAGTAACTAAAAGTTTCCAAACAGTATAAAGTAATGCAGTTGATATTAGTTGAACTTATAATGACAGCATAATAAAAATTAGTAAAGGACATGTTTGTTATGTTGGCAGTTTTCAGTACACTAGGAGCTAACGTTAGTTTATGATAACAGCCAGCGTTAACGCGCCGGCAAGTTGACTAACTTGACGTTAGAAAAGGAATAAAACCAAAAAATATACACAAAGGGATTTTTTGTGAATATTTTGGTAAAAGGCAATTTCATAACTAAGTTTACATATATCGCGTAGCAACTAACTTACTGTAAGATACTATATAGCTAACAAACTAGCTATCTTGCTATAATGGCTAGCATTAGCCTGTGTTTCACCAAGTTAGCTCGCTGTGTGAGAAAATCAGCGAACCCTGTGGCAGTGAAAACAACACACGAAACCAACTAGGGTTAGCTAGCTAGATAAGTTTCCCCTCTCTCTTGATTTTGCCCAACTATACCCTTCCTAGTTTGTTTGGAGACAGTTGGGGTTGTTTTCGACCATCGCACATTTACAACATATTCTAGATACATTTAAAAAATTAAAATAAAGTCAATGCGCGAGGTCTGCTTTACACAGCCGGCCATGCTCTCCTCCCCCCACTTCTGTGTGTGGATATGTTTGAGGCTGAACCAAATACTGCGCTTTAAAGCGGTGAGCTAAAGGTGAAACTGGAAGCATCTTTTACTTTTTAAGCTGATTGATCCAACCCGCCTCCCGTACCTTTGGCTCAGTCCCCCGCTGAAGCCACATTTCCAAAAAAACATTCATTCATTCCCCTCTGTCGCCACCGCCGTGGCTGCTGTAATGTCGGTTTCATCGCGACTCCCAACCGACATTAAACGACTTCGTTTTGATTAAAGGAGCTACACGTTTACAACTTATTTGGTTACTTTTAAAGACGCTTTTGTGGGTCGATGTTCTGAGCTGATAAAAAGTCTATAAATTACTTACAGTCTGTGAATTCCGCTTTCGCCGGTGACTCCCCCGTTTTCTTCAGCTAAGCTAGCTAGCTAGAAACAAAGAGCAGCTCAGCCTGTTCCTTTTTTTCCCTCTCTCACCCCCCCATCTCCTGTCTTATTGCAGCGTTCAGTAAAGGTACCATAAGCGCTTCACTAGCGCCCCCTTCCCCCACCAGCCTCAGCGGCTCAGCGCATGCTTAGTAGAAGCCTCACTGCAGGGCGGAATGCAGGCTGAGAGCGCACATGGGGGGATGGGAGCTCATACGGTAGCCCACCAGACAAGAATATTAATTTTCTACGCTCGCAGTGGCACAGAAATGGATGAGTTATATGAATAGGAACTGTTAATGCTTTGGACTAAACCTTTGTGCTGATACCAGAAGTGTTATGACACGTATGATTTCAGGTTTTATTAGCTTTTCAGATTTTTAAATACAGAGGGCAAGATTTTTGATTTTTGATCATTTATGTGTTAATGTTTTGATTCTACAGAGCTCTAATTGTGTATATATATATATATATATATATATATATATATATATATATATATACACAATTATATAATATAAAAGGTATTCCTATAGGGCTGTAGTCAAGACCACCTTTGCGAGTCCATGACAAGACTAAGACTACGACAAGATCGATTCAAGACTGAGTCTAAAACAGGAGTGTAGCCAAAAGGTGGCCAGTGCTAACCTAGCATGAGGTATGGCCACCCTTCTGGCCACCGCTGTTATCAAAGTGAGACAGTCAGCCGTCATTAATAAAGCAGTCACCAGCGAAAGGTTCCAACTAATCTGTGTGAATTTTTATACTTTACAATGAAAACCTGCTGTCAGGGCAGTTACTGATATTCAGATAATACTGCACTGGTCATGTGGTCAATCATCTGGTCATTGCTCTGAGAAGCTACTTTGCTGAGAAAACAGACGAGTGAACACTGGTCAAAACCTTAATGTTAGCCTCCTTTATTTTGCTTAAAGAAGCAGCTAAAATAGATAGATAGATAGAACTTTATTGATCCTGAAGGGAAATTGTGAACTTCTACATTAGAGAAACAGCATTAAAGTCACCTAAATAGATTTCTACATCAGCATAGTAGATTATTTTTGTTTTGTTATACGTCATGCTGTGGATCACAATTTTCATAAGCGACAGTATATGCATTAAAAACGATGCAAGGGTCAAAACTGACAGTATGTTTCTCAGAATCTAATCAAAAATAAGAAGAAAATCTGTTTCAGCTGTTTGAAAAATGTGATTAACCAGTTAAAAAGAAATGTACTTTAGTAAAGTAGGCCCAATATGGGCACAGAAGAATGAGCCTCATTCACTAACTGTTCCTAACAAGAAATTTCTTCTTAAAACCGACTTGCGCAGTTTTTACGAAGATTCTGACATTCACCAGTGTTTTCTTATTTGAGATTTTTTCTCAGGTAAGAAAAGAATCAGTGCACACTCAACAGAACAACGGGTATGAACAATTCTGCGTTTAAGAACACATCATGAATCTATTTCTGAGGACGTTTCTCAAGAAAAAAATTTAGAAAAAAACTAGTACGTATTTAGTGAATGAGGCCCAATGATCTTATCTGCTGTTTCATTTTGGGTTTTTTTCCAAGTAATTTGACACCTCACTAAAAATACTGGGCCTTACCTGGCCACCCCATTGTTAACATTTTGGCTACACCCCTGCTTTAATAGAGGTTCTTTACAGTTAACCATTTCATAGCACTAGTTAGTATATAGTTGATATAATACAGTGTTTCCAAGTCTTGATCCTGGAGGCCACTGCCCTGCACATTTTAGAGCTTTTGACACACCCACTTAATGTCAGTAAGGGGTTTTTAATTAGCTGATTAGCTTTATAAGTGGAATTGGGAGTAAGAAAAACACAAAATGTAAGCATGCACTGATATGGGAATTATGGGCCGAAGCTGATACCCAATATTTTTAATGCTCCTTTTTGCCAATGCAGATACATAAACGTTTATAAAATATATAACTTGAGACTGAATCTGCTTAAATTAACATTATAGAGATTCACATATAGGGCTACAAATGCAGTACAATAAAAAAATACAGGTATTTTAGCACAGCAACCCAGCTACTACATATTCGGTTCTTCTGCAGCACAATAGATATACCATCAAATCGGTTTGAAATCTCAGTCAAATGTAAACATGTCTGAGACTGATCATTTTTAAGCAGTTATCTGCTGATATCGATATGATTCCGATATCGTCATACTGGGATGTAGGCCTCCAGGACCAGGCTTGGGAAACACTGATATAAAATACTGTTTTGTTCTGAACCAAATCTAAGTGGCACATCCTTATGAAACTGTGATGTAATGTAACAATACAACTGAACTATGAACAGTACAAAAATAGACAAGATGCACCCCAATGCCTAGTAGTGGTTATTGTTGGAGATGGTTTCCATGAAAGATGGCAAATGAGAAATTGTTGGAAGAGACAGAAGCATATCAGCAATACAGTCTTTCTTTAGATTTTTCTAAACTGTATTGAAGTAGTTACAATCTTAGCTGATACTGTTCAGAAACTGCTTATCAAGGCCAGACAATAACAACAATGGCAGAATTGAAATTTTGCCTTGCACCATACTTTATGAATAACAGTAAATACATTTAAAACAACCTTTTAGATCTGTCTCACTGTTTTTCTTCTTTGATTGTCTAGCACTATCCTTTATTCAGTACTGAAGTGAGCAGCATCACTGGGAATGATTGCGCATAGTGCATGAAAATGAAAAAGGCTGTAAAAAAAAAAAATACTCGTTTAAAAAAATCCTCTGAAGCACTCTATGCCTTCTCCACATTCCACTGTACTGCTTTATATATCATGATGAAACTCCAGGCTTACACAGGGATATCATCTTTATTATTAACAGCATTTAATTTATATAGTGTAATAATATACAGTTTGCACTATTGGTTAGTAAATTCTAAGGAGATTTACAGTAAAACAATTACAGCATAAGAAATAGAAAATAATGATCTTATACATTTGTGAAAATATAGGAACATTTATTAGATAAAAAGGTAAACAGTGAAATGTAAACTTCCCTGTAAAATGCCCTGAATGCAAAATATCTATCAAACACTGCTTGTGCATCAAGGACTTTGGGATCATTTCTGCATAGTAACTGTGGCTGGCAGTCAGTTTGAGTCACTTGGCTGTAGTCTTTGTTCCAGAAGCTGGGACTAATATCGTACATTGAAAATTTACTCTGACTGCTTGTAGGACAGGCGCCTCTGATATCCAATGAAGTTATACTTCTGATCTCAGCACTTGTCATGGGCATCTATAAAAGGTTTCAAAACCACAAACAGTTCAATCCATGAATATCTATAATCAGTTATACTGACCATTAAGTATTCCATGTGTACAAGTCTTTGGCCCTTATTCATCAAAGTTGAGCTAATCATAAAACGAGTGCATGCAAATCTGACCAGCAGATTATTTCATGTTTGGTATACAAGTACAGTCAAACTCAAGTCTGGTAGGAGGGCAGGTAAATTTGAGCGTAATATTTTCTATACATAAAAACAGTTAGATAATCATCATTATTAAAAATATCATTCATAATATCAGTAAAAACAATAATAATAAAAAAAGAGAATATATTACTAATAATTTAGCATTTGGCAATCCTAAAGTGGATAAAATAATCATACTACACCTTGTCATTATACCATCTTGAATAAAGCCATGACATTTTATTCATTTCACAATTGATTCTCTTCAATTGTAATTTAAAAAAACATAAAGTTATTTAACCTCTGGCCAGTAGGGGGAGCAGCGCATTCCCTGTTTGACCCAAAACTCCACCTGAGGACAACCATTGGCTCATGACTCTGCTGAATGTTTTTCTTTCACTGGCTCCCTATTGAAACATCTTCATGAATTACTAGTTCACTAGTGCAGGAGTTTGTTTCTAGAGGCAAGGGACCAGAGGGGGAAAAAAGCTGCTTTGTGTGGTGTTGTTGTAGGGCTTGTATTAATATTGCTTACCATTTAAAAACATTTTTTTTATTGTTAAGTCAATTATTTTTTCGCTGATTTTTATGACAAAGTACCATCACTGTCCCACTATGAACCTCTGCCCCCTTCAGTATTGGCCCGAGGACCACCAAAGGGTCCACTAACACACAGATCCTCTGGATTCTCTACACTCTGTTTCTAAATACAGTACTATTAGTGGTTCTACTACTCTATTTAGTATGCAGCCATTGGTTGTTTTCATGTCATACAACAGTTTCACAAATCAGATGCAGAGTACTTTGCACATTATTCAGGGAGGTCAAATACGCATTCATACAGTTTCTACAGCTTTGATGAATAAAGGCCAACGTGCTTGCATAACTTTTGTCGATAAATTTTGTCAGTCTGATACTAATAAATGTGCTTAAGGCACCCCGAGTGTCTTTTAACGAAAAAAAAAAACAAAAAACACAGCACAAAGAACTATAGCACATTGAGAACTACTGAGTATGCTTCAGTTATTATTATGACTATATGAATCGAGATGCAAGATACAAAAAAGTTGGTCACAAAAATGTCTTTTGAAGGTAATAAATGTTCAGTTTTCCCTGAATGTTCAAAAATCTTTGAAAAACATACAGTATGAAGGACATCAAGAAGTTTGGAATAACTTTCCATTACAAATCAGGGTCCCAAGTACAAAAAAAGTTACATATCTTGAACAGAGGGCAAAAAATGTTTCTCATAGTCTGAAGGAGATGGCAGCTCATCCCAGTCATCATCATCATTTTCTCTGCTTGCCTCTTCCTCACTGCTGTCAATCACCTGTCTGTACTCATTTGCTCTTTGAAGTAGCATGGAATCATTCCTGTCTAATCTTCCAGGCTCTTGTAGCTCTTTTTCTCCCTCCTCTCCGTGTTCTCTGTCTTCCTCTGGCCGAGTCTGCTGCTGCTCCACCTCAGGTAACTCCACTATCAGTTCAGCCTCTGGGTCAAAGGGGCTGTCAGAAATCAAGATCACATCTACCGTAGAGATCATTAGAGCATGCTCTGAGGGTCTGTGAGGTACCAGCCATGATTGCTGGAACTGTAAGACACACATGGACAGATCATGTAAGAGTTGTGGTAAATTAATGATCTCATTAAGCCATATGCTTGTTAAACTAATCAGCATTTCAATATATAATTGACTTATAGAATTAACTGCACGCTTAATCTGAAGAATACACAGTTAAATGCAGTTAAAGTCATTTTTTATTCCTACTGTACACACAACATGATTCAACTCATCACATAACTAACACACTCTTCATGAGCTGAACGAGGCATGTTAGAGCAGGGAAAAATGACTACTGCAGCACTGGCTGTTGATTAAACTGAACTAGATTACTCCTGCCACACTGCTACCCACACTGACCTGATTGTTCCTCTGCTGAAACAAGCTGCTGTTGATAGGATCTGGAATCTTCAGCCATACTTTGCCCTGGAGCCATGAGGAATAGCTAGATAGTTGGAAATAAGATATCAGCTCAAATACAGCCATGACATGCATTCTTTCGATGCTGACCAGCATTTATTTTATTTAACATTATAAATGAAATCAGCACAACTTACAATCCCATAAAATCTGAATTGAGGACAAGGTCTTTTGAATTTTTATTACAGATGGATAGAAGATCTGTTTGCATTAGGGTAAATAAAAGAACATTATTAACAGCACTCACCAAATTATGAAAACAAATATCATCATTATAAGGAATGTGAGACACACCAAAACTGTGACCACCACTACTGTAATGGTGTAATCTGAAAAACAAAAACGACAGATATAGTGACATCAAACATTATTCAGTATCCACAATATAGTATCTACTGCAGCAGATGACATATTATAAAAAATAAAAGAGAAATTCAGATATGAAGTATGTGTATTGATCAGAGCAATAACTCGTCTCCTCTGAATAGTAGCAGACTGAGGGCTATCCTGTTAACAGTTGCTAAATCCCATTAGGTAGTCTGGCTTCACAGACAAATCTTGTTGGGCGGGTTACCTTAGAAACAATCACTATATGGGACCAAAATAAATGAGCCAGTGAACAAAGCTGCTCAAATATGGCACAGCGTAATGGGACAGTGGCATCTATTTCATGTTAAAATGAAGAAAGCTGCTTACTGGAGTCTACAAAAGTCTATTAAAACATATATATCTTCAAATATTGCTGGTGTACTACAGGGAGCATCAACACTGTAGAAAACTCAGTTTCCATGAATTCTATTAGGTGTAAGTCTTTAGTTATGGCACTCTGGAGAATAAATTGCCTATTTTAAAAGAATAGCAGGTATTACATCCTTTTTCACTGATAAAGACCAAGATTTGTGTCTTTAAAACTCCCTAATAGGCCTTTAGTAGACTAATTAACTAAGATAGTAGACTAGTTAACTAATCCAGGTGGATATTGTTCCAGTTTCCACATTTTATAAACATATCAGAAAATATATAAATAAAAACATTAGATCCTACAATTCTCATGTTGGTGCATTCCTATGATTACAGTTGGCCATGCTTAACATTATGGCTTCATCAGGCACTAATATTTTTCACACTGCTCAGAAGTCCAAGTTGTGTTCTCGTTATTCATTAGCCTTGGGTACAAACAGCTTTCTAAAGTGTGCTTGTTTAGTGATGTTTCTGCAGTAATCCAACGATGCTAATATATGAAGGGTTGGTTCAGGTGAGTACATATAATGATTTTAATGAGTCATTACTATTGCACCAATCTGATCCCCAGTATCAGGTTAGGGTTGATAACAGCACAAAATGCTAGATTGTATATCAGAGGAAAAAAAGATGACTCCAATAATATTCTGACTTTCACCTGACAATTTAGCATCTGGACATATGCTGTAAGATTTTATATACACATACATACATACATACATACATATATACATACACACAAACCTATACCATACCAGAAATGACAGTGGCACTTTTAGTGGTAAATAAGATAGTTGTACTCTCTCCCTGCCCACCAGAAGTCACTGCACTGATCCACACTTCATACTGCTGTGCAGGGTTCAGCTCAGGCAGAAGGACGCTGTTCTCATCACTGCTCACATTCAACACTGTTCAAAAGACAAAAAGCTTTAAACCACAGACTAAGACACTGCCCACTAGCCTGAAAGCCGTTTCATCTCAAGTGACAACCAGAGGCAGTGCAAAGCACAGCGATTGCTCATACTGCTCATGCAGAAAATATCATTCTTTCTCTTTCCACAGGTCCACAGATAGGACCAGTTGTGTTTGCTTCTAAACAGTCCAAGATGTTAACCTGTTCTTCATGAATCTGGGAATACATACTAGCTTGCTATTGATGAATAGTGAAGCTCTGTTTATCATGGTAATGTCAGGTGTCCATTAATCTCCCTTGCAAGCATTAAATCCTACTTGTTTTCCAGTATATTACAAAAACAGACTTATTAGTTTAGCATGCATATTAGTTTAGCATGCATTTTACAATAGTTTTGTTTTAGCCATGTAGCTAACCACTGGTTTAGCACAGTCACACTGCATCATTCTTTTTCTGCTGAGTCTAGTGGAGAAGCTGTACGGCTAGGCATTATGAAATTAGCTTCCTTGTGCCTAGATGACCCATTCTGGCAAACTGCTGTAGTTAATATGTTAGACTTTCTGCAGATCCTGAGTTTGGTATTCTGGGTTGCCGGGATTAGCCTACTTCCTACTACTGTGTAGAAATCCTCCTTTTTGCCCATATGCCCAGTCATGAATGCTGGCATATATGGCAGACCAAGGATATTATGGCATAGAAAGGCTTTTTTGGTGGTTTCCCCCATTGAAGCCCTTAATTTTAAAGCAATGGTTCAACTAAAGGCAAGTTCTGATTTCAGACGCTGTACGTTTAAGGGGAGCCTGGTCACTTCCTAGTTCTCACATCATACCAGAAAAATGACAGCACAACACTGGAGGGGTCCTTGATGACAAGAGGTGAATGAAGCTAAACAACTACAAACCAAAAATTACACGTTATTGAAAAAAATCACAAGCCATTATGTAGGAATGTCCTTTAATTTTGGAAAGCAGAAGGGTGTATTCTATTAAAAAAATAAAAGCGACGCTAACAGTATCTCTGTTTTTCTACAGCAAACAAGTTTTGGGCTGGAGGAAGTTAACATTACTGCTACTGACTGCTAATTGGTTGCTCAGTGAATGAAGCTGTTTGCAGTCACTGACATCAAAAATGTACATAAGGCACTGTTAGAAAGTCTTATAACTAGTGTTCAAAACTGATCACAAATATAATAGCTGTGCTGAAATATTTTATGCTGTTCTGTGTTTACAAAAAATGAATTATAATTATAAATTATTTATAATTATAAATGCTTAATTATAATTAAGCATTTGCAAACTATGATTTTGTACAAAAGCTCTATAAGAACCTATCAATTTAGTACCATCTCGGGAGCACCCTCTAGTCTAGATGGGGCAGTCGTGGGCTGGAGGTTAGGGAACCAGCCTTGTGTCCGGAAGGTCGCTGGCTTGATCCCCTCAGCTGACAGTACGTGACTGAAGTGCCCTTGAGCAAGGCACCCAACCCCTAACTGCTCCCTGGGCGCCGTGGATAGGGCTGCCCACTGCTCCGGGCAAGTGTGCTCACTGCCCCTTGTGTGTGTGTGTGTGTGTGTGTGTGTGTGTGTTCACAAGTGTGTATGTGGTGTTTCACTGCACAGATGGGTTAAATGCGGAGGTCTAATTCCGATGTGTTCAGACACAGTTGGCTAAAAGGTTCATTTCATTTAATTCATTTTCATTTCATAGTGTTCGTCCAACCCGGACAACAATACTGAGTGGTGATTCTCCTCATTAGAAATTCTTTGGCAGCACCTCTCCTACGAAGTTCAATCTCTCCTCCACAGATGCACAATCACTGTTCAGTCTGAGGGGTTCTGCTCAATTTATTTTTGGTTCCCCAGGAAGAAAACAATTTCACATATTATGCATGGCCTTGGTTTTCCGTACTGTTAGGCCAAAGAGATGATTCAAGGTTGTACACTTAAAGAATGGCGATTTTCATGAGCCTGTTGCCCCCAGCCACAAGTGATTTCATCCGTTTGCTCTCCAAGGCCTGCATACCAACTTCAAGCTCAAGATTTGTTGATCCATAGGATATTCACCAGGTGTGGGCAGGTATTGTCCCCGCTGAGGTCAAGAAGCATGAGGAGGCTTGTATGGCACAGGCTCAGAGTACAGGGTCTAATGGTCAACGGCACAAGAGTTACTTTACGCTGTCTTAAACCATCCAGTTCAGAGCACTCTCAATCCTCTGCCTTACGTCAAGCTGCCTGACATACCTTTCACTCCTGTGCAGTCATTCCCCTGAACTTACTGCAGCTTTGCCGGTTCCTAATGTGGCTTTACAACCACAGTGGACTCACAACACAGGCTCAGCATCAATTTTACATCAATATATGATGCCATAGATGTAACATTATCTCCTATCTGGTGTTCCACTAAGAAATATCTCCTTACACAGAGTGGCCAAGACTTTTTTACATCTGCTGCTTTATGCTTCCACTTGTCCTTATCTTGGAGACATTAGACAGGATTCACATTCTATGTTTTATTATAATTGACTACAACACCATGATTTGTAATGCAGTCAATGCTGCTGTTCCTCCTAGGGAGTCCATTATGGCAGGTTACACTTAAGAAAAGCCCTCTTCCTGTGTTAATTGGTTTGCACCTAAACCTACCTCAGATTTATTCTCACCGAGACCTTTTCCTATGGAATTTGTACCTATTAGTCAAGCACTGTACTTCACATCAGCTCTAGCAGTCAGCAGAAATGAAACAGAATGATAGCTGCGAATGTAATTATGGTCCTATGAGCACCCGTCAGATATGCAAGAACTTGGAATCTATGAGAAGATTCCACATGATGAGGGCTTTTATATTACTTGTTACATCTTAGGTCATGTCACTGTGGTCATTCGCAATTCAAAGAACCACATTTACATTCATAACCTTTTATTTTTGCTCTGAAAATTCTTTAACTCTGAAAAGTCCTTATTCACTATTATGAATAGGATAAAGACCAGATCACATTTTGGGACCCATACAATTTCAGAAAGTCCACAAACATTTTCTCACAACTGTAAATATTACAATATAAGCAGTTATAAGTGGCCACATGTCCTATTTGTACAGAAACATTTGATTTAGGTTTATTGCTGTAAGCTTTCTAAAGACACTGAAATTACAATTACCAAAATCATTTGGACAAGCATGATCATGTATTCTTTTGTTATGTAGAATCCTTACCTTTATGGTCACTGAGGCCCACTAAGTACTTCAGAATAACTCTCTTATCAAGTGGAAGAGGCTCCCATGTCAGAATTGCACTAGACGCAGAGATGTCTGTAACACGAACGTCTGTGACTTTTGGAGGCACTGAGACGAGAGAGAAAATGAGAGATAAGTAAACCACACAAACGCAGTTCAATAATGAACTCTGGCCTGAAGTACTACAATGATGACTAAGTTTGTAACTCCATGCAGAGTGTTACTGCTAAATGTTCAACTGAACAAATGTGATGAACTGGGCTCATGAGTACTTTGCTGTCTAGTAAGATTTGTTTCAGTTCAACAAAATCATTATGTATCTAAAAGCAGAACATCACAATAGTAATAATCTTATCAGCATACCTTCATGAACTGTGTATGCAGTAGCAGACTGGAGTAAATGGCTACAGTTGTTGATCACAGCGAACAGAGATACATTGTAGGCTGTGTAGTTCCAAGACTGATCTGGAGATGGAGACAAATGACAGAAGTAAGGCATCGCATGTCATGAGTGTCTTGAGAAGGCCAACCAGAAGTAAGCCTTTTTGAAACTGTGTGAAAGGACAGGGATACAATGACCAACAGTGGGACCACTGACAAATCTATACAGCCTTTGCAAATATGTATTTTATTTGCTATCCTTAATGACCTGTGAATCTGTATCTTCTGAAATTTTATATGTAATGTTTTTGAGCACTACTTCGCCTTACAATGCCCTACATGTACACATCTACCATGAATGGATTTTTAAAAAAATATGTTTAGGCTAAAAGTTCCTCTCAGAACTCTCAGAAAACAACGTCTCAGGCACAAAGCTGCATATTCAAAACTACTCCAGACAACAACATTCTGTAAAGGAGCTTTTAGCGGCATTACACTCTGCAGCTGTCTGGATCCTATTACCACCACTGTGAACAATTCTGACTCTGACACATCAAACCACTCTGAACGACTCTTTTGAAAACTGAACAGTACCAAACTATGCAGCACCTTTCAAAGATTCCACAATATTTTACTGCAAAAAAATATAAACGTCACCAAAAAATATAAAAAGAGTAAGTGGCAAAAAATTCATATAAAAGTGTGTCCATCACGCATCTTTACTGCCTATACAGTATATATCTATACATATATACTGTAAGAGAGAGCTGTAGGAAAACTTAAAATATGCATTATCATTATGAAACTAATCACTGCACTAAAAAGGTACATTTTCCTTCTTTGTTTAAGTGAGTAATCAAGTAATCATGACAGCTCTATAGTCATTTTTAGGGATAAAATCTTTCAACATTTCAGCATAATTCAGTGGTCGAGATGTAAACAAAAACTAAGCAGTTTGATGTGAAATTTCACATTACAAAAATTTACTGACTTTAGTGATTTCTTTAAAGTGGTGGTGAGGTTGTAATATCTACAACACAAATATAGCCATTTTATTTACTATCCCAAACCACCAGCGAACCTACATCTTCTGATTTCTTATATGTAATGGTGATGATGGTAAAATAGTGATTAATATGAAAGAATAACTTCTTTTTGGATTATTTTCCCTTACAACACCCTGTATGTACCTCTCAACTATTAATATATTTCAACATGTAAGTTTTAAGCCAAAACCTTCACAAAGCTATTATAAAACAATGTTTCAGGCATCAGCCGAAGTATTTAGTGTAATAACTTTTAGAGTCATTAAACTCTTCAGACGTCTGGTTCCTATCACCACCGTGGACAACTCTGACACTAGTTTCCCTAGAACAGCACATTTCACATCAAACCACTTTGAATGACACTGCTTACATCTTACCCATTTAATTGTGCAGACATTTCAAAATATCAGTGGAAACCCTCATTAAAAACAATTAAATACTTTTGTGCATATTCTTAGTACCCTATTCTTAATTCTGCCCACCCTGAGCACAACAATGCTAATATCTATGGCCTAGTTTTTCCACTGTTTTTGTTTCCAGTCCTGCTTTGCATAGTTTTGTTTTCCCAGTACATCTGAATCATATCATTAGCTATTATTAACCCCTTCTTGAGCTGAATCTCAAGAATAATAATGAATGTTAGGGCAAGGAATACACAAACCTCTGCGGTGTAAAAGGAGTTGGGGAGCTACGGTATTGAAAACTGATGTAACCCACAGTTTCACTTCTGAAGGGAGTACACACTGACGCTAGGGCAGTGTTTTAACTTTAGTAGCATGTGACCATTGTGAGTCATAACTGTGCTTTCAAACGTGTTATGAGGAAATGATGTACTCGTTTCCTGTCAAAGCAAACAATGGTTGTTTGGAGATGCAACAACTTTAACATAAGGCAAACTGCTATTACACACATACACATCCTACCTCCGAATGTGACCGAGTTCTGGGTTCTGTCCACTTTGTCCCAGTTTGGGCAAAGTGTGTGAGGTAGTCCTATAGGCTTATGCTGCACCACATACTCCTGTATGTTCTCAATGAACTGTGAGGGTACTGACCACGACACATCCAGAAACTGGCTCCCGCCTGTCACGTTGAGTAGCACCTCAGGTATTGCCAGATCTAGTAAAACAACACAGACATTGTTACTCTGCACTCTTCATGGCTCCATGGCCAGCTTAGCCCAATCAATGTCAGATATAACCCATTTTTAATTTGTTTCAGGTCAAGTGCAATGAACATTCTTGTCTCACTATTCATCCTGCCTACAGAATATGTCCAAAAAGGCCAAAATTAATTAAAACTAACAAATAACATTTTATTTATGTAACAAATTATTTTTGTTTATAAAGCTGTAAAAATTTAAAGCAGCAAAAAACATACAGCAAGCGTTTAAAATGCAGTCCAATTACAAAATACTGGAGAAGGTTGTTTGCCACTGTCCCCTCCTCCCCAGACTCGAAGCCCACATGGTTGCCAGGTTGAGGACACTGAACCTATATGAACAAGTGTTACGCCGAACTTTTACAATAGCAAGCGACGACAAGTCAGACTGCAGCTAATGTATATGTTTGCAATGTTTTTATTAGTTCCAAATTAAAACTCATATGGATTTTTTATTAGCTTAGCTGTGTTAGCGTTAGGTACGGTAGTAAAAGCTTCTTGTTCAAATTTTCCCATTCCACCTTAAATGTTGCAGCAGTTACATTCTGGAACCTGAGGCGTCAGACTGTAACTGCTGTACCATTTAAGGTAGGAAGGGAAAATGTGAACAAGAAGCTGGCAAAGAGGAAGCCAACTTCAGCACATGGACCACAGAGCATGAATGCGAGTACTGAAATGTTAAAGTTACTTAAGATGTCCATCCCTACCAGTAGGCATGATAAATTAGCTTTGGTTAGCTAACCTTAGCTGAAGCTCAATGCTTATCTGCCCAGGAGAAAATCTGCAAACTCAGCATCAGCCTTAAAGTCTTTCTGGGCTCTAAGCTGTCTCCATCTTTCAAATGCATCACCAATATTTACTTGCATTTTATTATATTGCTGGTGGATGCAGAAAATTCGGGATCCAGTTCATTTGCTTGCTTCCATAGCTGCATCACGCTGTATTTGCATGCCAATTTGTTTCATATCTAGCAACCCGGGAAGTTGAAACGGTACTGGGGAATGAACAGTGTACTGTACTGGGGAAGGACTGGGGAAGGAACATCCTTTCCACTCTTAAACAGAAATTTCAAAGGAGAACATACTGGTTGTAGCACTGTAGTCAGAGAAGTCTACATATTAGGCTGGTCTCAACAATTTCTGAGTCCACCTTACCCCAAGACTGAGACAAGACTGAAACCAAATGAGGTCGAGACCGAGATTAGACCAAGACTGCTGTTAGGATTCATGCTGCTGCATATTGTAGAAGCTGTAGATGGACTGTTTTCTTAGCATGCCCAGTAAAAGGGACATTACAGTTATCAATTCTGCTTGTAAATCTAAGGTAGACAACAATTTCTTTTTCAAAATACTTTGGTTGTATTCACATCTTTTCATTTCAAAGTTCTACAAAATGTAGGTATCTTGACAAAACTTGTGTGCTCATTAGGTTGAATAGGATTATTGCCAGCGGTCTGTAAAACGTATGCAACCTCACAACAGTTGTTACTGAGGAACTCCCTTGTGGTTGGAGAAATGACAATCGCTTACCTCTAGGAGGAGTCCTGGTGGTGTATAAACTCCAGTTACTCATAATAATCCTTTCTCCACGAACACCACAGCGAACACGGAACTTGGGAAATGGCACAGGATGATCTAGCACAAAGCTTGAGTCAAAGGTTTCTTCAACCTATATCCCCCACCACACACACACACGCACACACACAGAAAATCAGCAACAAATTTCTAATATATTTTCAAATGAAAGACATGGCATGTCATGTTGAAGACTGACTGAAAGAGTCTGCCCATGATCCAAGCACACTACTGTTCTTGTGTTTTATTGCACTCATTGTGACACTAAGCCAGCATGCCCACCCAGAGAACGGAGACCACTGACCTATCTACACTCTGGCTACAAATGTGTTCTTTTATAGCCACTGAGGTTAGACAAGCTAAGGTCTCATTCAGCCTAATGAGAAATTCTAATACTTGCAACTAGTTCTCCAGACCAAAGCAGAAAATTATATATTACTAAGTTGGCTTCACATAGCAGTGGCCCTGCAACACCTTATTGACCAACTGGGATAGCACAGCAACAGCCTAGCAACAATGTAGCAACCACCTGGGATTTCATAGCATCGTCTTCGGGTTTCACAGACTTTCTCTTTCTAGTTGTATTTTAGTTCTCTTAGAGTTGCTCAGCACTCACACAGACATATCTGACATTAAAGCAAAAGTAACATGGAAAAAAAAACTACTTAGATTTTATGATTCATATTTGGAGACAACAACTTAATACCCAACAAACATTCTGAAACATGCTGTACTCTTCTAACTAGACTGATGGGAATTTTTGCATTCTCTAATACATTCTGTAAACTTTGTCCAACTTCACAACAGCAGCTATGAAAGAACATTATTTGTGAGCAGAGAACAGAAAAGTCAATGAGCAAAAATCTCAGTTGTGCAGCTTGGGAGCACTTCTTTTTTCCATTGGAGGAGGGCACAGCTCTCCAATCACTTAAAAGCAAAATATACAAAGAAAAACCCTTAAACATCTTTTATCCCCCCCCTTGCGTCTCACCTCTGTCCAGTCCAGGTCACATTCATCCTTGTATTGGACCTCACATATCCTTTGTTGTGAGCTTGTCTCGTAGTCGTCTTCCTCCACATACCAGAAGATCTCAAAGGGATCACATGTGTGACTGGTGAATAACGGAGACAGTGGCTCTTCTGAAGATATGAAGGGTTATAAAGTGAAGGATGGTGAAAACAGTGAAATTACCTAAAATGGCTTCAAGAGTGAAGGTAGAGAACAAAGTATGAGGTGAGAAAGGGCTACACAGCAGTAGAAAAGCAAGAGAAGAAAAAAACCAACCAATATTGTCTGTGTTGAAGGTTTCAGCTTCTGACTGCACAGTGGCCAGCGCACTCACAGCAGAGACCCACACTCTGACGTGAAAGCTCCTCGTGTATTTATCACGTCGGATTGTGCCATAGTCGCTATTCCCCATTACACGAGAGCCATGGTTCCTGCATAAATTATACACAAACAAAACCACACATACACTGTTGAGACTTATACTTTGGAAAGTCAAACACAGTTATTTTTTCTGATTTGAAATCCCCGGGCCAATAAACTGAATAGCTACTTGATGCAAAATACATATTTATGAATCAACTCAGGGCTTCATATGTAACACTTACTCCAATCTGAGTTGGCAAGGTGTCTAAACATATATGTCTAAACATGTTTGCATATGGGATTCCGTTTCCCATATCAGCACTTGATACGAGAGAACAAATTAGAAAATCGTGATCACAAATAAAAAAAAAAACACCCACGAAATAAAGAAAATGTGCTCACGTTAAAAAAAACAAGGGAACGATTTAAGAAAACGTGACCACGAATAAAAGAAAATGTGCATACGAACTGCAAAAACGTTGACTCGAATTAATTATTTTTTTTTACCTCCGTCCCCTCCGGGTCTCCGTAGGGAGCAGAGGTTAGAATTAGAATTCTTATTCTGATAGCCCCTCATTGGCCCTCTCAGACATAGCTGGTAGCTTGGAACCTGAACGGGAGCATCTTCTAAAAGATGGACTTCCTTTATCAGTGATGGAGACTATACAGAAAGCCAGAGCTCCTACAACCAGAGCTCTGATGCAAGGAGTGTAATGCATTTGAGCGCTGATGCAAGGAGTCTTTTTGATAAAGGGCTATCTTTGTCCACTTCGTAAGTATACTTGGCTGCAATCCCCGCATGCCATCCTAAGAATTTTCCTAAGAATTTTCCAGGCATGATTCATGCTGACAAGAGACATGTTACGCTATGTCCCAATCCAGTGTATCTCCCCAAGATTATTACCTTGGGGAGATACCCTGCCGTGGGCCAATCCCGGCCTGGCTGAGGCCAAGATGTCACTTTGGTGGTGGAAAGATTTAAACTTATTCAGTGGTGCTGCCTGAAAACAGCGCTATAGAATAGTAAGAACTCTCGCTCTTCATTCGTAAAACCATGGATGTAGGACAACCCATCCGTTCTTTCCCACCAAAACATTGTACAGAGGTTCACTGCACAGAAAGAATATTTGTGAAACAAACACTACGAGCACACATTGTGACCACATCAAGGCTCATTTGTGCTGTGTAATGTACGTACAAGCTACCCTGTGAGTTAAAGGGAAACTCATCATATTTTTTAAAAATTCTACATATGAGTGAGATGTAAACAAAACCATTCGGAGCGGTTTGTTGTGAAATGCTCCATTTCAAAGAAACTTACCAAGTCAGAATAGTTCACAGTGGTGGTGACAGGAACCAGATATCGGAAGAGTTTAATGCCTCTGAAATCTCCCTTTACAGAAAGCTATTACATTGGCCATAAATGGTTAGACATACAGCACTTGATGTCTGAGACTTCAGAGAAATTCTGCGGGGGGGCTGTGTGTGTTTTATGATAAGTTTTGTCTTAAAATGAATTTTGATTCATATATTTTAATCCATTGACGGTAGAGGGGTACATACAGGGTAGTGTAAGGCAAAACAGACTCTAAAGAAACTTATTTTTTCAGATTTATGGCTATTTTACATATACAACCTCAGACATATGTAGGTTCACTGTTGGTTTTGGATTGTAAATAAAATGCCTATATTTACATTATAGACATTGTGATCCCTGGCTCCCATCACCAACACTGTAAAGAAATCCAGAAATCCAGAGTTTGGAAGTTGAACCATTTCACATCAAAACTACTCTAAATGACTGTTTACATCGCAATGACTGAATTATTCAGAGATTCGAAAAATTGGTGGAATTCCCATTTAAAATACAGTTTTGATGCTATTCTGTAGGAAGACATTCTTTCAGCACATTTTCAACATCCATGCCTCCATCTAGCTGCAATGCTACACGCTATTCAGACACTATCACTACTTTTAAGAGGCAAAGAAAATTCTATGATAGCCATCTAACCCAAACAGTGTGTCTAAAGAAAGATGTACTCAGCTGCACATCCTCAATATTTTCACCCATACTCTTCTAGACTTTGCACAATCCTCCCTTAAGTGCATATATATGAGGGAGAAAAACACATTTTGTACTTTTCATGTATATGAAAACCAAGAATCAAGTTCAGACTTCCTGTTCAACTTCAACATATTCTACTGGTGTGAGAAGAATGGTGGCTATCTGCTGGAAGCAGAGCTGGGCGATATAGCAAAGATATAATATCACAATAGTACAAGAGGTTTTCACGATATACAATATTTCACAATATTTACTTTTTCTGACACCTGATAAACTGGAACAAACAAAGTATTGCCTCATTTAAAAATATATATATATTATCAAATACTATGAATCCAATGCTTTTTATTCAATATTTCACACACTGCACCATACTAACTCCTATTAAACACTACAATAATGCTCTCTTCATAATCGAACTTGATGATGCTGTATGTCTTTTTTAATAAAGATTTCCAATAGAAGTTCACTTAATTGATTCAGATGGTATGAGTTACATTACTTTGTTTCATCAGCCTCTTCCTCTTCCTCTTCCCAATGTAGGGTGAAGTTGGCTGGGTTGAGGAGATTATATAAGCTGGTCCAGCGGCAGTGGATATTTCGCTGTACATCATACAATGGAATTAAGCAAGTGGGAGGTGGATCTGTAGAGACAAAGAGAATTTAAGTAAGAATTCAAACGAAAGTGACAGGGGACAGAAACAAGGACAAAAAAAGGTAAAAGAAAAGCTGGACTTTGTCACTCTGGTTCAATCACCCACCCTACCCAACAAACCGAGGCTGTTTTACTGCCTCACTAAAAGTGCCTGCACAACAATTTGAGGGTGAATAAATGTGAGACCGCATGTACACAGGAAGTCTTGTCGGCTGGTGTGCAAAAAGCAAGCCCACCACATGAACTTACTCTAAAGCCATATTCTTTTAATCACTTAAGTTCTGCATATGCACAAGTGTTACACTCCTCAGTCAGCTCTGATGGCATTTTAATTCATCTGAGACAAAAAATGTAGTCACCCTACAAGGACAAATGCAAGGACCTCAGTACATGGCAGTACAGTGAAAAGCAAAAGCAGAACCGCAGAACACTTAGCTTAGCTCAGAGGTTACTTAAAGGAAGTACACAATGTCTCACGCACCCAAACTGTAGCTGATCATCAAAGACCTAACTGGTGTCCATACTTCTCAAGTTTTACACTGGGGCTCCGAAATAAGTCACACAGTCTTCCAGTAATTAGCCTCAAAGCTCAGGTTCAAACTTAACCAAACACCATGTCCAGGGTAAGAGTGACATTGTGTAAATTAGATTTTTCAGGAAACCTTTCCTTTTAAAGATACAATTTTTTTCTTTTCCAATACCAACATCGAAACTTTGAGTATCATCTTAACTACTATTTATTGTAATGTCCTGTACTGCAATTATTGAAATCTACTGCACTGTGCTGTGTTTAATTCTGTTCCTTTCTCTCTAGGTATCAACATGGGCTTTTGTCTCTGGCAATATCTGAGCTCAGCAAAGATACTTTCTCTAGGTAGACAAAGCACTTTTTGTAAGTCATTCTGGATAAGAGCGTCTGCTAAATGTAAATAGGCCTACATTGAAGTGTCAAAATCTAACATTTAACAAATAATTTGACCTTTAACGAAAATGAGTAATAATGATTAACAATGCTGTTTCTTCCCTTGCTTTTCTGTGTAGGTTAGCACAGATGAGTTAAAACAGACTGAGCAGCAGCAGCTAAATGGTCTGTTTTACATGCTTGCACGCCTTGTTATTATTTGTTATTATAAAAATTATTTAATGGAAATCAGATAAATAACTCTGAGTTACTCAATAGCTTTTGACAACAAACTTTCTTTTTTACCTTAGTTACTGCAAATTTGTGCATCTGTTAAATCATGCATAGATTTATGGCTGTTTCTTCTCTAAATGACGAACACTAAAATGACTTGCAAACAAACAGCACCCCCTGCTGTAGAAACTTCAGACTGCTAGGTGGGAGTTCCAAATCCACATCCATGTGCTCTTCATGTAAAAAAAAAAACAAGGTGTTTTCTGTTGCTTTAGCACAGGTGCTCTGAAATGTGGGTTTAGAAGCCTTATGGAAACCATCAAATATTATTTTTTACTTTTAATATTTAATATTAAATAAAGCTTACTTTTCATATTATAAACTTTTCATATTTAATAAACTTTAAGCATGTAATATTAAAAGTAAATTGTATTCTTTCTGTTTCTAGTTTCTAGCATTGCTATCAAAAAGTAAATTATCATGCTCAAGCTACTCAAATGCTGTACTACCCCACAGGAATGACTACAGCCAACAACACATCACACAATGTGAGTGTGTGCTATTTCAGGCTAGATTTGTTACAGGATTGAATCAGATGCTTTCTTTTTTTCCCTTCAATATCACGCATTTTCTGCTTATATTAGCTGGTTCTGATACCTATTAATAATTTTTTTCTTTGTAGGATCAATAAAGTACACAACGTCTCTGGATTAGAATAATATCAGGTCAAATCCGTATTTTATTAAAGGTAATAGAAATCGATCCCGTGTTGTTCTTGTTTTTACTATTAGTAGCTAAGAAGCGCTAAAAAGCTGTAATTGATTTATCAGCCACTGCTGGGAGTATAGCACAGCTGAAAGTACAGCAGCATTTCACATGAGCAACTTCTTCTGTGTTGGCATCACTACTGAAGCCGTATGGAGAGAGAAACATAAAGCTTTTACATTTAAATATGCTGAAGTGTATTCAAGTTCGGTTACAGTTACTGAATATACCTACTTTTGTTAGGAACTCAAAGAGCTGAAACACATACACAAATGCTGCACAGACCCCAGAAGAACACTGTCAGATGATTTTGCTGTCTTTCATAACAGGGCTATGTTATGGGAAGTATGTTAAAACATACATTTCAACACATAATGGGAATGCACTAATTGCATAAATTACTTATTTCCAAAGAGGAGTTTGACAATAGAAACACAATAGAAATTGTCAATGTACCACGTTGCCTGAGACTAGCCTGTTGTGACATTGATTTGTGAGTGTGGTCTTTCACACAGTTTAATCTAATTTTTTTCCAGCTTATGAAATAAAAATAGTGAGTATATTACAATTACAATAACCTTCTCTTGGCTTAATAATACTGACTAATTTATAGCCAACACCACTCTCATTGCAAGTTTTTTGGATTTGAGTTTTGCCTTCACTTGACAGAGAAAGTAGCAGTCAGAAACTATTGTGTGTGGCTGGGACTATTTTGCGAGTCGTTTGGTCTAAATCTGTCTTTTTTGACACAGTAGTTCAGTGTTTTAAAAGTACTGATGAAACCCATGATTTACTCAGGATGCAATTCAACAAAATAACAATAATATCGTGTTGCCAACGCCTACCTGTGCATACTGTTCATGTGCTCATCAAGTATACATTATTGGATACTGTCAACATTTAACTTTTTCAGTGGTAAAAACATTGCATCATACACTTGCTTAGACGTTAACTGTAAAGTAACTTTTTCCCACCAGATTTAGCTCTTTCCTTCCAAATCTCAAACACCAATCATTTTGATAAGCACACTCTGAAAGCCTAAATCAAAACAGGATTATCATATTACTATCCAATAATAACACTGATCATCAAGAACTTATAATCTAACCATATGCCGGTGGTTTTAGTGACTTCAGGTAACCCTAAGATGTCCACTGCTGAAAATGTCCTCGAATCTACTGCATTGCCGATAGCTTGGCAGTTTATTGCAAGTACAAATGTACAAAAAAGATACTTCAATCTATGGTAACTGCTGCGAGTGAATACATATACAGCACTGTTCAGAAGGCAGAGAGCCTGTGTTTATTTAATTACTGATCCAAACAGCAATACAGTACACATTTTTCAGTGTATAGAAAAAAACGAAAATATGTATGTATAACAGAAACATACACAGAAGTCTCAATAACTAAAATTTTTTTCACTATTTACTATGTCCACGCTTTGCCTTTATTACAGCTTCCACTCTTTTTAGGAGACTTGCTTTCAGTTTTCAAAGAAATCTGCAGGGACATTTTTCCACACCTCCAAAGTTCAGTCTTAAAAGTTGGTTGCATTTTCTACTTCTCACAATCCAAGCAATCCCAAACACCTATAATAAACACTGGAGTGTTCAGTCCATTGCTCCGAGAACACCAGCAACTGCCTTTGTTTGATTTGCAAATTTTCTCTCTTTTTCTGTCTATTTCCATTTGGCTGTAACAGCTTCTTTACATCTACACATCCTTTCAGACCCTTGGTGTTAAGTTGACAGAAACATCTGTTGATTTTCAGATCTGAAGCAAGAGTGGAGCTTGATTTTCTCTCAAAGAAAAAAGCTTTAATAACTGTCTATCTGATGGTGACATTTTTGGTGGTCTATGAGGTCTTGTACGGTTGTTAGTCCCATTTTTTCTTATCTCCTTAGAAATATCTCCTGAAAATGAAAAACTTGTACTTAATGGTCTTGTACTTGTGTTTGACTGGAAATTAAATAACAGAACTGTACATCTGCAAGGTACAGCACTACAGACATAATGTGTCTGATTCTGCTGTAAGTGTATAAGATGCAGGACTGTTGTCCTGATGTTCAAGAATTGAAGGCCCTTTATACATCTTGAAGTCTTCGCAGTAGCGCGGTCAAGTTGATTGTGCATGAATCCAAAAAGTCACATGTACTGATAAACAAAATTCTCTAAACACTCTCATAAATCCCTCAATAGTGGATGTAAAACTCTACACATTGTTAGTATGCATTTCTGACATTCAAAAATGACTTTTGACTCTCTTACTGTGATATATTGGTGCCTATCAGTCACGTACATTTAATTTGCTAATGCATATTTCCTACACACGTTGTTTGTAACGTGCAGATGCTGCAACAGAGAGACATTACTGATACCATCAGTGTACTGTATAAAAGTTGTTGCTCTTCCTTTCACCTCTAAACTACCTCAAAGTTGAGAAATGCTGGCACACATCTGTATAAAATTCTGAAAGGCTGTACCGTACAGTGGGCTAGATCAAAAACCAGTTTGGTCGTATTTCACCCTACTGGCTGAAGACTATATCAGGTGTTTCACAATTCCTGGCCTGCCTTTTTATTAGAGCACATTTACTGGGACACAGTCATGCTCTTTTAAATACACGTGGCTAAATGCTCCTGCCCACAAACCAACACAGTCAACCTGGTCTTATTTAAAGAATAAGCCACTTTTCATTTACATTAAATAAGTAACGGTATCAGTAATGGAGTTTAATTTTCAATGGAAACCACACAGTTTGGTCAGTCCAGTGAAGTCTACATGATGCTCGCTATCTCTTAATACAGATATTTTTTCCACTTGTGATATGCACATGATAAGATCTCTGCAGCGTAATACTCACAGCCTTCTTTTATCGTGCAGGCTTTAGGTGTCCCTCCACACAAAAGCTCACAGCTTATGTCCTGCAGGGCTTGTGGTGACAAAACGGCGGTGAAATTTGCAGTGTTGTGGGTGCACTGGTGGGGCACAGCCAGTGTTGAGTTTTCAGCTGCGATAAGACGAAGCTGACAGCGATCACACTTCTGCAGGGACCTCAGTGGGTCTGCTTGACACTCAATAGACACATTACGGTTGACAGATACGCCTTTATTCCACCAGCAACTTACATCCTGCCCAAGGGAGGCTGGATAAACAAAGAAAGATAAACAGAAAGAATTTTGTTAAACATGAAATAGAGAAACAAGTGTATCAAAAAAAGTATCTCAATAACTTGTATATATAATAGACTATGGCATTACTTAAAAATAAACTACAATACAAGCATGGGCATTATGACTATATTTATTGTTACTGAGATCAATTACGTCACATTGTTACAATATGCTTTTCAGAGTATACTATAAATATCATCTGTACATAAAGAACATTGACCAACTCCGAGTTTCATCACAAGGAGAGCAAAGTTAGGCCTGTTTAACTGGATTTAGTTCAGCAGTATGTGATAAAAATCACTGTATTCTGTTTTGGTTTTTTTGGTTTTTTAAGTGCCACTACTGGTTCTTTTTTGTTCTTTTCAACTTATCAAACCTCAGAAAAGTTTAATACTGTGATACAGAGTAAATATCTCAAAATGCAAAAACAAAAAAGACGTGAATGTTGAGCATTATACTGTGATTGGTACTTTTTAGAATTTGATTTGTATTTTCGTTTAAATGCAATTAAGAAAAAAGGAACATACGTACTATTATTTCGTATAATTTGATTTTTACTATAGATATCGTCACTTAATGTTTTTATACATAATTATTTGCATTTAAAAGGATCTATTTAAAAAGTATCCTTCAAGATAACAGTATCGAAAAAGCTGAACGATACCCTGTCCTGGTGGGTGGGGGTGGCCAATAGCATTATCCTGATAATAATAATAATAATAATAATAATAATAATATTATTATTATTATTATGTGTTCCAACTTATTAAATCTCAGAAAAAAAAACTAAATATCGTGATGCATATCGTGACAATGTCTCACAGTATCATAACATTTTTGCCATGTCGCCTCCCAACAACCTGCCCTAGACATAAAACCACTCAGACACTCTTCTGCGAAGCCCAGACAAGTGCTAAACATGTTGCAGCTCCGCAAGGTACACTAGCGACCAGTCTGACTCTCAGCAATACATGCTAATGTATAACAAATTTCCACCCATTTCAACACTTCAGTACTTCAGAAACAGGATTAATAATTTCACTCACCGTAAGAACAAAGACAGGCGAAGAAGTACAGAGTGAAGAAAGGCAGGACCAGTGTGCCACTCTGCCATGCCATCACTCACTGCATCACTCCAGTGACTAACCTTCCAGTTTACATCATTTCAGTTTAATCCCATTTCCAGTCAGGAACGCCTTCGAGCGTGAACAGCGTGAGCTGGTACAGTTTATCTAACTTAGACAACTCACAAATAAATGTTGTTGAAATTTCAAAACAGACGTCTTTACAAACATCTTATCCTACCCGACGAACACATAGGAGGAGGTATAACTTGTTTTTTTTTTCCTAAATCCACTGAACTCCCGCCAGCTCTACACAGCTCTCCGAGGGCGATGCCAAACTAAACTTTCTCTGCAGTACGTGCTTGTTTACACTGTCACTTCCCCGCCTGTACCATTACAACATGTCTCGGGGGCGTTACTGCAGATTCCGACAGGTTTACATAAATATCGCATATTCAGCTCTGTCCTTTTCGTTGGCTGTAGGTCTTTTGTGAAATCTCTGATTCGTATATCTGGTTCAAAAGCGGATAAAGGGGCGTCTTTAATGTTTTAATGGTTGCCCCTGGAACGTAAAAACCCGCTTCTGGATCAAACCATTTCAGCTTTCATGGAAGTCGTCTGCGATGTGTCGTCACAGGCTCCACCCATTATGTGTTACCGGAAGACATGTGGCCTTTCTTTACCGATAATCAGTCGTTCAGAAAAAGCGGAGGGCAACCCGCAGTGGGCGGTAGCCTATTTCTGATACATTTCCTCGAAACACGTATTTAAAATAAAAAATACTGTTTTATCATTTATTTTTGATGATCCAGGGACAAAACTGTAAGCATTGTGTATCAAAAACCTTTTGAGTTCTATTATTTTGTGGTTTGAAAATACTCAACCCCAAAGGGTCTCATCACATGTCAGGAAATTAACGCACGGAATCAATCTGGGGCATTTTAAACTCATTACCACCCAGTGGTGGAGAGCGGTGTACAGCAGTGCACTCATGTTGGTTGCCCAGGCATGTTGACTCTTCTTTTCACATGACGTTTATTAGTTTTTGAATGGCCTATTTTCCCTCTACTGAGTTCCCTTATGCAGTTTGCGTGGGTTTATGTACCAAATACAGCCTGATTCATTTTTAAATGTCAATTTCCCAGCTATTCCACTATTTTTTTCAAAATTTCTGAATACTTCAGTCCTTGAAATGATAAGGCATTCAGGGAGGTTTGGTAGGAAATGGTTGATGGTAGAGACTCTGATTTCTTTACAGTGGAGGTGATAGGAACCAGGGTCGCCATGACTACAACACAAATATAGCCATTTTATTTATTTATTTTTATTTTGTTATGTTGATGATGGTAAAATATGCATAAATCTGAAAAAATAAGTTTTCTCTGGGGACTGTCTTGCGTTATAATGCCCTTCATGTATTCCTCTGCCATGAATGGATGAAATGAATTAAAATACATTCCCAAGACATCAGGCAGCATTTCTTGTAATAACTTTCTGTGAAGGAGCTGTTAGAGGTGAACGTCTGGTTCCTATCACCTCCACTGTGAACAGTTCTGACTCTGTAAGCTTCTCTAGAACAGAGCATTTCACACCAAACCACTCTGAATGGCTGTTTACCTCTCAACTATTTAATTATGTCAAAGTTTTTCAAAAATTGGTGGAATTCTCCTTTAAGTACTAATCAACTAGCATTAGTTTTACATGGGAAGGTGAGGTAAAACAATTGTACCACATGACTTCTCTAATGTTTATGATTGATTCGCATGGGGTAAGAAATCTCTGTACAAATTATTGAGATGTGAATGGTTTCTCGATTCATGTATTGCTTATACATCAAAGTTTAATGTGCAATATTTCAGCTGCTCATAAGTAGAAAACTTATCCACACATTTCATTTAAATTTAGCTGTTGTCATAAGCTTGGGAATTTACAGCCAACACTCAATATCAGTATAAAATGTTTTTGTAAAAACTTTTTTTTTACACTTTGCATAGCTACAATGCGAAAAACTCCTTTTCTACAGAATATGATGGAATATTTAATGACATGGCAGTACGACTGAGCAATTTGATATGTATTGTTATCATGACAAATTATGACACAATACAAAATGTTTTTTCTAACATATCCTGCATATTGTCACTACTTGTAGAACACTGACCAACTGAATGTTTGATAATAAAGAGAGCAAAATTAGTTGTGTTTAACTGGATTTAGTGCATCACATTATGCCAAATATGAAATAAAATCATTGTGCTCACAGTTTTTGATAGTAATTTTTTGCAACACTGATGGTTCTGTTTTTTCTCTGTTTCAGCTGATCTGGTATCTGTAAAAATAAATATCATGACATATCCTGTACCGTGAACATTTCTCAAAGTATCACAATATTATATTTTTGCCACATCACCCATCTCTACATGGCAATAAACACAAGATTAATAAAACCTGTTCATTTTATACAGGCGCTGGAAGCTTTACGGGTGTAGAAGTGCTCAGTCTATAAAAATGACTCAGGTCAAACAGACACTGTGAAACACTGACAACAATTAATCTTTATGTAAAACTAATCCTGTCCAAAAAGCACTTAATAAAGAAAAAAAAAAGTTTTTGTTATTGTGCCTTTAAGTGGTCAAGCGTTCTTTATTGTCACTCCTCAATATAACTTGTAAACACTGTAAACATAGTCAACAGGACTACACGGAATGCAAATATACAATAAATACACCAGACAATAAACATGCAGGACAATAAATATGCATGATGCTAACTAGACAGGACAACAGAACAATATGTAGGAATGGACATCAGTATATATACACAGACACACACACAGTGGGAGAAAAACTATTCAAGATTTCTAGGTCACTAAGCAAACTGAAGCACATTTGTGATATTGACCATGTTAAGGCCTTTGTACAAAAAGCTCAGATCTTATCCCTTCTATTGAAGCTTGTGTTCAGAGCATTCTTTCTAATCTACTCATCAGAGGTTTTTGCTCTTGTGAAATACATTGCCAGCTCTACTACACGCTGCTATCTTGCTGCTGTTGGAAGAAAACTTTGTATCTCCATTTTTGTTGTTTTTGACATGATTTTTAAAAATGTCTGTCACCCTTTACATTGTGTGTAAACTTCATGAAGAATGGACCAAAAGAAACGGTCCAAAATAACTTGGAAAAAAAAGTTAATTAAAAGTAAAGTAGGTTTAGTTATCATTTTGGAGTTACAAGGTTTTCTTCCGAGAGCAGCGAAAATATATATATATATATATATATATATATATATATATATATACACATACATATATGTGCATAATTTTGATTTTGCATTTCAAACCTAAACATGCATGTGATGTTAATACATAAAGACGTGGTGCAAATTATTCCCACAAAATCCAACCCGTCACCTCTGACTTTTACATTACTATTTCAAGCTTTACAGGGCGAGTTGCAGCAGCGTACAGACGCCATATTATAATGTGTTTTTTTTCTCTTCAGTAATGCTACTTCTTTCCCTTTAAACAAAAATATTACTGAGTATAGCTTGTAACTATGCTGACATACCACACTGAACTCTCTTATTTAAAAAAAGTGAAGAAAATTCAGTCTTCCACGCCCATTAATACATTTGTAGTTATACTATCTAGTAGTTTATGTTTACATTTCACATTGAGGTATTTTTCATTTCTTATCAAAATGCATTTAAATGTATTTTTGCCCATTCTTGAGAAGCAACAATGCCTTTCTTGTTGTATGTGTCAAAACTTTGACTGTAAAATGAGGATCTCAACCAAAACACATGATCGTGTAGCTATAAGGACTGATTCAACAATGTCTTTATTCCAGAGTTCACTATATTACAAACGTAAAATACAGTAGATTGAGAAATAGAACATTTTGTGTTTGGTGACAAGCATAAGAACACAATTCAACTGAAAGCCGTTTTGAGACATGAGTGTGTGCCACCTAAAAGCGAGAGTTCACAAAAGCAGTGATCCTGAAGTGTCTGTGTCAGCACAGAAAATCAAATTCTCAGTAAAAACAGGAAGACACACACGCATACGCACACACATACACACAGGCTCAGATGAGGCAGTTTTCAGCACAGAGAGCTGATCTCGCTCTTGCTGCAGCCCCATTTGCAGCAGGCGTTGGAAAGTCCCACCACCACATCACGGCCCTTTCTGCTGGACGTGCGCAGGGCTTCCAGCACCTCCTCTGAGATGAGGGAGCGTGCGGGGCGGCTGAACATTGCGCCCTCCTGACTGGCGCGGGTCAGTCCCAAAGAGGTGGACTCAGCGGCCTGCTGGATAGACAACTCCGGGTCTGAGGGCAGCACCCAGCCGTCTGCAGCATCTCTGTCTTCTGTGCTAAATGGGTCCAGAGTCAAATCATCTGTAGAGAACAGAGGATGGGATATTATAGACAATATACACTACTCTTACAAAGCATGGAAGCAATTCTTTTTGGTACCATCCCAGTTTATTCGCAGAGAAATGTGTTTTTTTTTTAATGTGTTCAGAATGATGAAGGAAGCTCTAAATGATTCTATAAAAGCTGTATAATATTGAGGATGACATTATAATAAAATGAACACAAAATATTAAATATCCAACACTTCTTTGTGTCTAGTCTATGACATGGAAATATACACTGTTACACTGTAAAAGTTATTATTGTAAATAAACCAGCAAAAATAATTAACTTGTTAATGTCCATATCTGAACTTTTTCATTTCCTTTGGTCTGTTTTTTTCTCTGAGCTTGCCTGAGCACAAAACATGTGTTCAACACAATTCAGTCTTGATTCAGTCACTAGGAAGCACTGATTCTAATAAAACGATAATGTGTATAAATGTATGACAATTACATTAAATAAAAAAATCAAATAGGTACTGTTAGATGTCCATCTAAAGAATAATAATCTAAAAAAATCATCCCTTTAAACCAATCAGAATGAGTTAAATGGCATCTTTCCTAATAAACATACAAAATGTAGTTGATGAATATGAAATCTTTTACTGTTCATGCAAAACAACTCACAAGAGAAATCAGGTTAGTTGTTTCACACTGCAAACTTATCCAAAAGAAAAGAGGATGTAACTCTAGACAAAGAGCCACAAAGATGTTGACAGAGAGAAAAAAAAAGCCACAGAAAAAGCTGAACTAACTAAAGGGCCCCTATCCTGTCTTTTCCTTCTATTTATTGTTTTTTCTCGCAGCACACTTAAAATGTTTGTATGCTTTCATGTACCAAAAGCAACCATAGTTCATTTTTACTTGCCCATATTTCAACCTCTCTTTATCCCTTAGAATTAAGCATATTGTTTTTATTACTGTAGCTTTAAGACTGATGTATGTAATTACGCTCTGTTCTGATTGGCTGTTCTGTATTGTGCCTCATTTTAAAAGCAATGTGGGCTTAAACACTCCTTATAACTTCAGTGTGAATGGGCAGGGCTAAACTGCTGTGTGCTGTGAGTTCTTTTTAAAATCCATTCATGGCAGAGAGGAGAAATAGTATACAAAAGAACTTTATTTTTTCAGATTTACAACTATTTCACCATTATAAACATTCCATATAACAACTCAGAAGATATGTCTTCTGAATTTTCTCTGTGTATATTCAGGAAAGAAAACAAAATGGTTATATTTACATTGTAGATGTCAAAACCCCTAATTTTCATCACCACTGCTGTAAAGAAATCAGCACGATTATCTGTAGTGAGCCTTTTCACACCAAAACACACTGAATGATTTTGTTTACAACTCAGTGATTGAATAATGCAAAAATTTTGAAGAACTGGTGGTATTTCCTTTTAAATATATAACAGTGTCATATTGTATCTTATGTATTAATACACAGTTTGCTACTTTTTTATAACACGGAATGCCTAATATCTCCTTAACAAAATGTGCCTCTCTTCTAGACTCAGTAATTTTCTCTTCGTTATTAGCGTTTGACATTGTAGTGCTAATTATTTGAATTGCATTACAACTGGTATTAAAAAAGTCCTGTATTCAATTTGCCTCAACAGAGATTGACAGTATGTATGGAGCTGCTAGCATTTATTAATTTGAAGACTTAATTCCACATAACAAATTCATCATCCCAGCACAGAATCAACAAAAAGGTTTCAGGAAGAAAAGTCTGATCATAATGAGTGTAAAGTATTGGGTTGATATCTTTACCTGTGCTCGTGATGGAGCGTCTCCAGCGAGAGCCTCCGCAGGTGAAGATGACTGCACGGATGAACTCGCGGCCGCACAGTTTGACCCCATACGTGGGCCCGTCCATCGCCCTCACTCCAGCCAGCAACAGACACACGGCCAGAACTGCAGCTTTCCACATCGCGGAGCAGGCAGAGAAAAAGCAAGAAGAGGATGGATGAAAAACTGATTGAGATGAATGACAAGTGGTCAGTCTCTGGTCTTCTTATGCTGGCTGTTGTGTCTGGTTTCTTGACCGTGAAGATTTCTGTCTGTTCTGAAACTCTCATCTCCCTTATAAAGGAGTTCAAAGCACATACGCACACACTCTGCGCTCATGACTTCCAGTGCCGCCTGACTGAGGTGTCACAGATAACCCAGTGAGGTAAAACCAAAGACCTTTCCATAGACAAAAGCAGTGACCAGGAAAAGCATAATTAACTAGGGTATCCAAAATGAAAAATGAGAGGGCAATCTGATTGAAAGGGACATTTGTCTACGTAAGCATCCCTTGTCTTTCTCTTTCTATTTCTAGCTTATTGTCCACTGCTGTACCCCAACAACGGCGGCTATTTTACTCTTTCGTTATTTATTAGCTGTTACTTTCATATGATGCTTTAGATGGTTTTTGTTCCCTATAAAACATGTTGGCCTCCATACAAAGCTTTTTCTGAACATTTGGAGGCCTTAGTATGCGACCTTTCGCTTGGGGAAGGTCAAAAGAAAATAAGTGAAAAATCAAGAGTTTCTAAAACAGGAGTTCAAGTTACAGAGAAAATGGCGCTCCTAGCAACCGTGCAAGAGCTGATCACTATCAGATAAACAGAATTTAAAGCTTTCATCTTTAGGAGAGAGGAGAAAATCAAGCTCCACTCTTGCTTCAGATCTGAAAAAATCCACAGCTGTTTCTGTCCATCCTTCCACTGTGAGAAGACAACTCAACACTATGGGTCTGAAAGGATGTGTAGCTGTTAAGAAGCCCTTACTAAGCAAAGAAAATAGACAAAAACGAAGAAAAATTGCAAATCAAACATAGAAGCTGCTTATGTTTTCAGAATAATGGACTGGCCATCTCAGAGTCCAGATCCAAAGTCCAGACCTAAGACTGAACTTCAGAAGAAAGTGCAAGCAAATTTTATGACTGAACTTTACATGTGAGGAAAAAAATCTGTGCAGGTTTCTTTAAAAAACTAAAAGCAACTTTCCTGTACTCAAAAATATGAAATCGCTCAGTTGTTGGTTTTAATCAGTTTTCCCTCGTTGATATTACTTAACAAATCCATGTAAGACAGATTATGAAGATCCGATTTAAACTTATTGGGCCTCGTTCACCAATATCTTCCTAAGTCTTTTCTTGAATGGGTTCTTGAGAAAAGTCTTAAAAAAAATCTACATCAGATTCTTGACGTGTTCGTAAAGCGCAGAATTGTTGGCACCTTTGTGCTCTTAAGTGTGCTTAGATTCTGGTCTTAGCTAAGAACAAATCCCAAATAAGATTTTTTTTCTTAAGAATGGTTGGTGAATGAGGCCCATTGACTTTATGTCCTTTTTTACTTTAATTAGCGAAACATAATCATATTGAGTACATATTACTCTACCGAGCATCTAAAAAGCTACTAAAAACAGTTATAGATAAATATAGATAGATAGATAGATAGATAGATACTTTATTGATTCTGAAGGAAATTTAGAAATGAATGTAATAATTAGAATGTACTTAAATTACTTTAGTGTGATTTTCTTGAATTCATTAAACACATATTACTCAATAAAATCAGTGTTTGGGTAGTTGCTTGTGTGAATGTTAGATTATCTCTGAAGAGGAACATATTTTCAGTAACTCCTTTGGGGACAGCTTTTTTTGGGAGGACACAAATGAGAGAGTGAACAAATTAAATACTGTTAGAATTTATTATAATACTGTTGGAGGCTTCTGTGGGGCTTTTCAATTCAATTCAATTCAATTTTCTGTTAAATATATTTCCAGCTTTTTTTCCTGACACTGAAAAAACTTTACTTACCATCTGTTCTGACTGGAAATTAAATAAAGGAAAGGGTGGTCTCTGACTTTTGCACATTATCATACATAATAAATGAAATAAAAGAAATATAAACTTTATGACGCAAAGTGATGAGTTCCTCATGAGATTTTTTCCTTCCATTATCATGAACAACGAAACAGTATTAAAAAAAAAACAAACAACTGATAACACTGTTTATAACAAGAAAAGGCCCTGCTTCTATAGGACTGCAGAGTAAATTAATATATTAGTATAAAAGAAATACACTTGTGGGAATGATTTCTTGGATACAGATTAAGTCTAATCTTGGACTAAACTGCAATGTCAATTGTAATTCACTATTAAACATCTAATTTAGTCTAATCTAATCTGATTTTAGGCTTAATCTGGGTCTGGGAAACAGGCCTATGATCTACAACAAAGAGTAGAATAATGAATGGCATATATCTTGGCTGTGAAAAGGTACTCTCATGAAATAAACAGTACTGCCCAGCAGTGGAATACTCCCTGTAACTTCGTCATACTGATAAAGTTCCTTGTAAGTATAGTACATCCAAAAAACAACTAATTGCAGGATGTGAATCTGCACATCTGCACATAAATGAATGGGTTCATTTTATGTAAGAATTTAATTTACATTGCTGAACTGAGACAGGGTACTGTGGGACTGGTACATAGTAATCTACCAAACAAACTTCCAAAACCTCCAACATAAGTAAACAGATTGATCATACGTGAGGGGCGTATAAAATCAACACTTGTTAATAACTAAGCGTTGTTTTTCAGTGGCTTTGCTCTGTGGTCTTTGTTAGCTTTCCTGATCAGAAGACTTGTTTAACCTACATGTGTATGTGTACGTGTGGAAGTGTCTGAGAGGTGAGAAACACTGGCCGTTGCAGGCCGGGAGGGGTTTGGGGTTGAGAGCCACGCGAGATTCAGAGAGCATGACATTTTCAAAATGTGATAACACATTTTGCCTATCTTCCTAACCACATAGACAAAGGTCTCCTATTTCCAAAATGACAAAGGAATAATGAATGTGTAATTAGTATGTTGATAATAAGGCCAACAACATGACATTTTGAGGGACATTCACCAAAATACGTCTATTGCCACATTGTCTGCAGTGGACGGAGGAGAGGTCAAGGGCACGCTGACAGAACTGTATAGTTTTCTACCTTCATTTTACAATAATAATCTAATACTCAATTAAATATCATACAAACTCCCTTTATTGTAGCTTTTTTTGCTTCCTCGAAAAAGTAGGTAGTTCCTTACCTTGATATCTTAATTTGAGCTTTGAGTAACAGGTGATATTTCTGAAGAACTGGGCTAGTGCTATTTGTGCAAGTTTGTAAAGAAGGCTACAAATGTTGCTGTTCACTTTGCCTTTGAACAATTACCTTTAAATGGCAAATATATATATGTGAAGAGCTCTGCTGCTAACATGAGCTCCAAGATCAGGCTTTTCGCAGATTCTGCCATTTTAAATCAATAATAAGAGAACATGGTCCGACTTCAGAAATATGGCCTCGACATCATAGTGTTTGCACCCCTTTACAGCGGCTTACAGCTGTGATTGACACAGAATTTGGACAAACGAGATGACGCAGTCGGCACTGACATTTTTATTGGACCAATGGGCGAAAGACAACTTAGTTGCTATCGCCCCCTTTGGACCAATCAGACGAAACAAAGGGGCGGGATGTAAGCGGGTGGGTAGCAACAGTTGCCCGGGTGAGGAGGAAGCGCCATAGCCACGGTAGTCCTGGCGACAAGAACCCAGCAACGAGAATCAACAACAACAGCCCGATTCATTGAAACTATAAAACAAATCCAAAATACCGGTGGAAAATTCACTCGGACTTAAAGGTGATAACATTCTTTTTAATTTCGCCTGTCGAGCTATATTACGTTTGTAAGGGAAACTATTACGAGGACTGTTGTATTTTTTCCACTAACCGTAGCTAGATATAATGTGTCCGTAGCCATTATAGCCACCTGCCTGGCTAAGTGATTGGCTCGAGAGCCGCTCTAGGGGTGACTCGCGAAGCATAGCCGGCCAGCGGGGGATCCGAATCAACACGCCGAACAGACTGTTAGCTTCTGTTCGCCTCGACAGAGCTAGTCGTTGTTATGACGATGTCAAATGCTAGATTGGCTGTACAAAATGGCGGGTGTTGTTAGCAGAATATAAGCGAGTCTACACTCATTGCTGGCTCCACGAGCAAAGCTAGGCTAAGCTAGTCGGCGAAAGACGGCGAACACCCTTCACTTTCACTAGCCAGCTAGCGTTGCTAGGTAGCCAAGCCGTTGAAAATAAACGCCGTTGGCATAGCTACAGCCAAGTCCGAGGGGACAATTTACTGTTTGCACTGTCGTGTCGACGTTACAAAAATGTTCGTCTCCAGTATATCACAGATACAGTGATGCTGTTTAAACGAGTAACTTGTATTTAACCTCCACACGGTTGAATCTCATTTTAATGTTTTACACTGGAGTGAACCCAGTCATTCCCCTTCATTATAAAGCACAGCGTTGGGTCGTGAGGTGACATGAAAATCCCATTTCACTTCACGCTTTCGCCCCAGACATCTACGCCTGTTCTAAATAGTCTCTAAAACAGTAATGTTGAGACCGATTAATCTGTGCTGTTTATAAAGGGAGGTGGTGCAGCCAAAGGGCTTGCTGTGTAATATAAACAGTGTCCGTGGAGACAAGGGACCTAAAAATAGTTGGCACAATAAGGAACTACCAGGAACTAACATTTGCTGGGAAGTATTCACCCTCAGTCCTTTTGTTTCCTAGTCTGCCTGCTTTGAGTTTCTGCCAGTAGTACGTGCGCAGAGCAACTGCTTTGCAAACAGCTATCACATTACTTGTAACAGGACACCAAATGCTTTGCTGAGTCTTCCCTGTTCTTTGAGCTGGGCCTTTAATGGCTGGTAGGGGAAGACCTGAGTGAAGCCTTTGTGATAGAAGTTATCTAAAATATTAATAACAAAGTTACTAGCATGTAAATAAAACCTTATTGGACCTGCTTGCAGACATTTATGCTTTTTTCCCTTTTGAATGACCTGAACTTGTTTTGAGGTTCACATTCTTTCTCTTTTGCAGACTTTAAACCAGGCTATCTCAATGGCAACTCCAGCCTATGTGGGGGAGCTGCAACAGGCCTCCCAGGCGCAAGGGGGCACCGTAACCGTAGCATCGGGGCAGTCTGCCGCCGCTGCTGCCTCTGCAGCCCCTCAGCAGTTCCTGGCAGAGCTGCAGACCACTGTAGCGTCCGGCTCAGTGTCGGCGCCCACGGGCCAGACCACACCCCCTCCTACAACAGCCCAGAAAACACAAGTAGTTGCCCAAGCCCCGCCCACTCAAGCCCCACCCACACAGACCCAGTATGTCACAGCTGAAATTCAGAGTTCACCCACACAGTCCAGCAATGCCCAGAGCACACCACAGTACATCGTGGTCACAGTTACAGGTGAGGGCGTGACGTGTAAGGTTGCAGCTATAGGTAGAATACATGGAGGAGAGACATCCTTTAAATATATACTTTGCAGATGTATACTAGGGATGGGTGTGGTTATTAAAATATAAAGATTGGTATTTTGTACTACTGTGCATGTACCGTAAACCTCATGTGAGCTTTTCTGCACCTTTCACTTTTTCCAGAGGGCTCCCTCCACTCCAATGACTCAGTTTCAGACTCCAGTCCTCCTCCTACAGTGGTGCAGACTGGAGTTCCCACTCAAGTGGTGCAGCAGGTGCAGTCATCCCAGCAGGTAGAGGCGCACACACATACAGAACTGTGAAAAAAGTCAGAGACCGCCCTTTCGTTTATTTCATTTCGACTCACAATTGCCATTACGTACAAGTTACAAGTCATTTTTTCAGTGTCAGAAAAAAGCATGAAACATAATTAACAGTTACACAAAAGCCTCCAAGACTAAGTATAATATCAAATCTGTCTGCATTTCATTTGTTCACTCTCTCTTTTGTGCACCCTACTGCCACTTTAACTCCTTCATCTTAAAACTGACTAGTCACAGCTGTGTCCTGCCATCAGAACTGTTCCCAAAGGAACATTATGATTCCCTTCAAAGAGAGACTGACATTCACACAAGCAACTACCTAAACACACCTTAGCTGCCTTACAATTTTGTTTTCAGTTGTGCATCTAAAATGGGGATATTTCTGAGAAGAATAGCAGTAAGAGAGTCCACTTGCATAAGGAAGAGGAAATTCAAAAGAGAAGTGAAAAAACAGGAGTTTCCAAAAACTAAATTAAATAAATTATTAAAAGATATAGAGAAAATGGAACTTCTGACAACCATACAAGACCACCGAACTGGTCACCGCCAGATAAACAATACTTAAAGCTTTCATCTTTGAGAGAGAGGAGAAAATCAAGCTCCACTCTTGCTTCAGATTTGAAAAATCCACAGCTGTTTCTGTCCATCCTGACAGCTCAGCACAATGAGTCTGAAAGGATGTGTTGCTGTCAACAAGCTGTTACTGAGAAAAGGGAACAGACAAAAAAAAGAATGTTTGCATTTTTCAATCACATTTATTTTTTGCTTGTAAAACCATTAGGTACATTGTTCAGATCTGAATGACGATCATCCTCTTGTTCTCTGTATGTGATAGGTTTCTCTGTATTTTTGTCCACAGAGGTCAGTGGTTCAAGCCACATCTCAGACAACCAAGACTGAACAGGGCACCCAACTGAGTGTCACCAGCCTTCAGCCTGTACACTTGACTCAGGAGGTGACTGCATACACAGACCCAACCCTCATTCTTCTATTTACATTTCTTAAGCAATTTTAACGAAGCTAACAACCCCACCTATTAGCACTGTGCAAACTGAATGCTGAACAGCACGTTTACTTGCAGCTTAACGCTGCATCATATACATTTCAAAAGAGAGCTCTGCCAGTTGTGGCGAGGGGAAAACAGCCTCACCATGCAGTAAAAAAGTTCAGCAGATTTCTACTTTATGCAAATGAGTCTGTCCTCTGCATTGTGTTTAACCAGTTGTTCTCCTTTTGAATACATAGGAATTGTAATAATGAAAATTTTTGTTTTTATACATAACTGTTGGCAGTGACGTCAGACATGGACATTGTTTAAATGGGAAGGCAGTTTAAATCATGTGGAGCTCGTAGATTATTTGCTAAGACAGACAGCTTGCTGGCTTGTGTGGATGATTGATGCACAGTATAGGGCCCTTGTCATGAAATCCAAATTTCCAGTATAGTATGTAAATACTATGAAAGTATTTAAAATGTACCATTCATTCACCCCCTAGTCCATACATTTCAAATTTGGAAATGAGCTGATTGGCTGTCCTGTTTTGCGTCTCATTCAAAAAGCAATTTAAGCTGAAACATTTCTTATAATTTCAGTGTAGGGTGGGACTACAGTGCTGTTGGCTGAATTGGTGGATGTATGTAAATGTGTTTTCATGACATCATAAAAACAATTAAACTATTTTTGCAGCTTAATTTCCCAGACATGTTTGAGAGGGTTCTTATTCTTCATTTTTCATAACAAAAACATAGAACTGCCCACTGGTGATGAGCAGAGATCTGGCCTTAAAAAGTGCAAGTAGATGTGTACTGTAAATCTTCATACACTTGCCTCAAACCTCAAACAAGTTGTTAGAGAATCTTTAATAAATTTCAGAGTTCAAGATGGTTGCTATTATTGTTTCATAAACTGTGTTTATGTCATAATCTTTGCTCCATCTTTATAGACTATATCAGAAACCATCTAACCAAGTTTATTTGAGATTACCTCAAAATGATGTATTTTGAGATGAGTATGTGATTTAGGCATGTGGTTTGGACAGTGCTAATCAGTTAGGTTTAAGCATCCATCGCTTCTTAGCCACATTAGCCTACACTTGGAATAAGGGAAAATAGTGTGAATTGGATTTTTAGCCAAACTATTCCTTCAATGACACATTCTCTTAAATGAACTGTATTAGTCTGTAGTATTTGTGGATAAATTGTGGTAGAAAACTGTGTCACCTTCCACTGCTTACTTCCAGAGTCCTTCTTACAGACAGCAAGAGAAGAAAGCAGAGAGAGAGGGGAAAAGGCAGAGAGAGAGAGAGGTACAGCAGTGGTCAGAGTACAGGGCAGCAGCAATAGCAGATAGATCTGTAGAGTCATATGCAGATGGCCTCTACCACTCATGCTACACGTTGGACTATCCAGGAGTTTCCCCCTACATCCCACTTTCACTGCCTCGGGCCTTTACTCCAGGCACCTTCTCTATCCCTGTTATGACTTTAGGCTGGGAGTCAGAGCAGCCCCTCTACTCTGCTGTCCCCACAGTGTCCGTAGCCCAGCCCTTCCTGTTTGAGGCTGCTTCCAGCCATGGAGTAGGTGGCTTTAGAGAAAGAAGCAGGCTTAAAGCAATGATTCAACCAAAAATCAAGTTTACACAGTCTTCTCCTTACCCATGTAGTTGATCAGCCAAGATGTGAAGTTAGCTCTGCTAAAAGGCAGAGGTACCTTGCGAGTAATCATTGAGTGGTAAACAAAGTCGTTTGAGTGAAATGATGCACATTATAGAAACTTACCAACTTCTTTACAGTTGTGGTTATAAGAATCAGGGGTTACGGTGTCTGAGTTTTAGTATGTTGTTTTTGTATGTAATTTTGCTAATAGTAAAATAGAGGTAAATCTTGAAAAGTATTTTTTCCTTGGGTACCATTTTGCCTTAGAACACCCCGAATGCAACAACAAAACCTTATCTGAAAACTATCATAAAACATGTCTCAGGCATCATGCAGCATTTGTAACCATTCCATGTAATAACTTTTTGTCAGATAGCTTTTAGAGGCATTAAACACTTCAGACCTCAGGTTACTATCACCACTGGTCTTGGACTTGGTAAGTTTCTGTGAAATGAAGCAATTCACATCAAAACAATTTGAAAGACGTTACAATCTAACAATTTAATTATGCAAAAAAATTGAAAATTCTGCTTTAATGACCAAATACATTTGCTTATGTGGTTTCTGACACTGGTATCTGTACAAATTGACAAAATCACATCACATTGATAAAAACAGTACTAGCAGTGTACTTGAAGCCTGATTAAGGGTAAGGGGGGCATTGTGTAAAGTAGACTTTGGTCGAATCATCACTTTAAATAACAACCAGACCTGTTGTTGCTTACTGAAGTCATGAAGTATAAGAGATAAAAATGGTCTGGTTATGTGGCAATAGGATTTTCTCGGAAAGAGCTGAGAAAGAGGAAGGAAGGAAGTGAGCATATTCTCATTGTGTGTGCCTGTGTGTGTTTGTGTTCTCTCACGTGCACATCTGCCTGCAGCAGCTTCAGCAGGTGCCGGTGCAGCATGTGTACACTAACCAGGTGCAGTATGTGGAGGGAGACACTAACTATACTACCAGTACCATGTAAGTCCACAGCATTGATAAGTCAGTCACATGGTTCCATGTCACCACAGCAATGGCTGTTAACCTTTAGAAGTTTTAAGTCATTACACAGTTATAAATATGTAAATACTAAGTTAATTACATTGTTACATGATGAATTATATTTCATTTGCACACTGTATCAACAAGTTCAAGTTTGTACTTCTTGTGTTTTTCTGCTTGTTTTGGTGTTGAAGAGGTATTTCAGGGTACACTGTTAAAATACACTCAGAAAAAGCTAATGTTTAGGTGCAGTTTCTTTCATCAAGGTACTAACAATTTGAATGAAGTTTCAAAACAGTTAGAAATGCACATTGTTTATTTGTACTCCTGATGCTTCTGCATACAGTAGTATTAATTACATGTGTCTTGTTCTTGTGTATAAATTGACAAAGCACTGAAATTAACAGCCATCATGTTATTCAGAGCAGTTTATTTTATAACTCAATTTTTCCTTCCCTTCTCAGTCGCTCCAGCAGTTTCCCCTACACGGACACTCCCTTGTACACCCAAACCAGTGGCGGTCAGTACTATGAGACCACCTCTGCCTCTGGCTCCCAGGCTGCCTCCCCCGGCACCCCTCTGACCGTTGCAGTGACCACAGGCTCCACTGGCGTCTCCATGTTTGTTGCTGGGACGGGCCAGATTGTGGCCAACCCCACGGCGGGCACAGGGGGCGGAGCCACGGCCGTGATCGCAGCCTCAGGGGCGGCATCCAGTGGCTCTGGAGAAGGAGGGGGTGGGGCTAACGGCAGTGGTGGTAGCTACGTGATACAGGGAGGCTACATGCTGGGCAGCGGGGGCACCAGCAGCAGCAGCAGCGGAAACGGCCAGAGTTACTCTCACACGGCCCGTGCGTCCCCGGCCACCGTGAGTATTAGCGAGGGAGAGGAGAATAGCGTGCCGTCGGCAGACAAAAAGGTATGACCGAAAAAAGCACAAAGGCGAAGACCAGACCAATTGTTCGGCCACACTTGTCACTCACTCGTCACCTTCACCCTTCCCAGTACATTGCAAAAAATTATACCTTGTCAAGTGAAATCATCTGAAATTATATCTAATGTTTCTGCTTATGAGTCTGTTGTAAGAATATTATAGAATTATTCAGCCTATTTCTAAAAATTTCTTCTTGTTTTTTAATTAATTTTATATAGTGAAATGATCTTAAACAAGGCAATTTCATTTACTTTAATTAAGAGGGAAATGGCAGAGATTTTTCTAAATTTCAGCATAATTAAATGGTTGAGAAAACCATTTTAAACAAAGTCATTCTGAGGGATTTGATGTGAAATACTCTTTTCTACAGAAACATATCACAATCATAGTCAGAATTGTTCACAGTGGCGGTGATTAGAACCAGATGTCTGAGGAGTTTAATGCTTGTAAAACCTCCCTCACAGAAAGTTATTACGGGAAATGGTTACAAATATGGTGCCCGATGTATGAGACACTGTTTTAACGATATCTTTGGGATAAGCTTTTGGTCTAAATTATTTTTAAACGCATTCAAGGTGGAGAGGTACATACAGAAAAGCAAAAAAGGTGCACAGTAAAGCAAAACAGATTTAGCACTATTTTACCAGAATCAACATTACATTAAGTTTAGAAGACAAATGTAGGTTCACTGGTGGTTTTGGATAGTAAATAAAATTATAATATTTATGTTGTAGACAATGCAACCTCCACTGTAAAGAAATCATGGGTTAGTTTCTCCACAATGGATAACTTTACATCAAACCACTCTGAATGACTTTGTAAGAATTTTGCAGAAATTTTGAAAAATCGCTGGAATTCCCCTTTAAAGTACAGAATGTCTAGAAATACATTGAATAGTCTAATAATATTCTTACAACATAAGTGTAATGACAAGTATTCGATTTGTTGGCCAGATTTTAGATGATTTGACTTGCCAAGATATTATTGTTTGCAGTACATAAGGACGATGATGATGTCATCATTCCCTATCACGCATCAGAGAGCACAGTTAAAGAGCAGAGTGAGACAATGAGAGTCACAAAGGTCAGTCATGATGTGGCTCAAAGCATATAAACCTCAGCATTCGTCTCCTCTATTGAACCCATGCCATTAGGCGCAATGAATAGAGTTATCGGAGTAGCTGTGAAAATTTCCGTAGAGACAACAGCACCGGAATACACAAATTATTCATAAATTCAGATTTCCCTGTTTGCATACATTTGTGTTCTTCTAGGAAAAACGTGTACTACTTTGACAGCACTAGAACAGGTTTTACTTTCTTTCACTGTGCTGTCATGTTCATTGAATGCAAATGCAAAATTCAATCATGACTCCATCATGTTTCATATCATAAATTTGCATGAGAGAGGAGAGTCATCTTTTGATACTCACATTCACTCTAATGGCCCTCCTACATGGCTGCATATCTTGCTAGGGGAACCAGTCAAAGCTGCAGGCATCCCATTGGTTGTATGTTCTGTTGCATACCCGTATTGTATGCGACGGCACGCGGAAGAGTACAACACTACTAAGCATGTGTCTGAATCAGAATGAGTCAGAACTGTGTCATGCACTGTATATGTGTCTTTATTGATTCTAAGATAATGGTATTTCTATGATTTTAGGAGCTAATATAATATATAATATAATCCATAATCTGCATGTAGTTTCATATGTGATCACTCAGTTTACATTTTATCATTTTCCTCTTTCATAAACGGGTCATTTCATGAAAAGAGTGCCACAACATTCGATGCCGTGTATTAGAGACAGAAATTTGCTAACAAGCACGTGGAAATAATGGGTTTTTTTTAGACATTTTTTTGGGAATGCAGGCATATTTACATTTTCACATCTGTACAACAAGTAATTTGAAGTTCCATCTCAAATATTACAAATTAAACGTTGTATTAAAGGGCCCATATTGTGGAAAAAATGCTAAATTATTGAAGCAAAGAAGTTTGATATAGAATGCAAACATTGTTAAAGTTAAAAAAATTTCACTCCCCAGTCTGTACAGTCCATATGGACTGCCTGTTCTGAATTTATTGTTTTGTGATGTCATGAAAAACAACGCATTTACAAATATAAATTTGGCCCTACACTTCACACTGAAGTTATAAAGTGTGTTTTAGTCTGGACTGCTTTTTGTATGAGGCACAAAACAGAGCAGCCCATCAGAATTTACATATATTAGTCTTAAAGGCATAGTAACAAAAAACAGCCTGTTTAATTCTAAGGGATTTAGAGAGGTTGGAAAATTATGTACAACTGGTGTTTAAATCCACACAAATGTCATTTGAAATTGTCTGCGCCATGCTCTAATGTATATACATATATAAATTTAGCTTAAAAACATTAATTTTTAGTAAAATGCAGTAATTTATCTGTTTTTATCTGTTTTCCACCTTATTTAGCCTTAAAAATAATGTACCGCCACAATAAGTCATATGATGAGTAAACAACATAATTTCAGTCCTCAGAGCAGTTAAAATATCCAAATTGTTTAGCATTCATAATTTGTTAGTTTTTTCCATCCTTGACATCCCTTCAAGCAAGGTATGCACCCCCATCCCACAAAATATTAAGAAAACAGTTTTGCAATATTCACAGAAAAGACATGTAATTAACTGTTGAAAAACCCCCGTCCCCCAACCCCCCACCTTTTTCGTAAGAGCAATATGTAACTAAAACTATAGAGGACAAAAAACTGTGATTTATTTACATGAAAATTAACATGGCTAAATGGCACAGATCTCGTGAAATGACTCGACTGAACACGACTCCCTAAGTGCACTTCTCTGCATGCGTATGCACGAGCGGTGCATGGGAAAGTGTGTTTTTTGTGTCTGTGTGGCCGTCCTCTTTTTGCGTGTGTATGTCAGGCCATCCCTGGGCTCTCTGTCTGAGTGTGTGTGTGGCTGTGTGTGTGTCTCATCCCTGCAGCTGTCCTCTGGCCCTCAGGTGCAGTGGTTGTTGGATAATTATGAGACGGCGGAGGGCGTGAGCCTGCCGCGCTCCACCCTCTACTGCCACTACCTGCTGCACTGCCAGGAGCAGAAGCTGGAGCCCGTAAATGCTGCTTCCTTCGGCAAGCTCATCCGCTCTGTCTTCATGGGCTTGAGAACGAGACGACTGGGCACCCGGTAAGGACGGATACCAGTATTAATTTTAAGGAGCTAAAAATTTGGAAAACAAACAAAAAAAAAGATAATTTCAGCTCATAGGTGTTACTGTCATTAATTTCATTTCCAGTAATTAAGTACAAGTTATTAATTTATCAGGAGAGATTTATGAGACAATGAGATACAGGATAATTCACTTGCATAAAGGGAAAGTCAAAGGAAAATATGTGAAAGACATGAGTTTCTAAAAGTAGAGTAAAAAAAGTCATTAAAGTATATGGAGAAAATGGGACTCCTAACAACTGTGCCAATCAGATAAACAGGTTTCATCTTTGAGAGAGAATAGAAAATAAAGCTTCACTCTTGCTTCAGTTTTGAAAAAAAAAAAAAAACACCGGTGTTTGTGTTCATCCTTCCACTCTGAGATAATGTGCAAATCTAACAAAGAAGCTGCTGGTGTTCCTCATAACAAAGGACTGACCACCCCAGAGTCCAGACCTCAACATCACTGAATGTGTATGGGATTACTTGCATTGTGAGAAGCAAAAAATGAAATCAACTTCTAAAGCCCACTTCACACCAGGTGTGGCACCACAGCGGTGCCACATCTGGTGTAAAGCCCAGAGCGTATTTTTCCATGTCAAGCGCAAAAAAGACACTTTGGGTCTATTTTTGATGCGTGGCCTGTTAGCAGTTTCTTGGCAGAAACAGTAGCTGTACATCACATGGTGAGAATGCCAGTCACTGCAGCAAGTCAGGTTTTTATTGGCGATCTCTTTATATCATCTACATTAAGTTTATTTAAACAATAAGGAGACAATAAAGACATTTGTATTACATGAAAATGCAATGCAAACAGAAACCGTGTTCCTCTCAATGCATTTATGTCACAGCCATTGTGAAATAACAAGCGTTGTGGAGTGGTTCTGGATTACCACTTAAACTGCATTGCGTCTGTTGTGAAACAGGCTTAAGACTGAACTTTGGAGGTGTGGAAAAGGGTGAAAACAGTAAATACTGAAAAATTAGTAATTATATTTAATTGTTATTGCTTCTGAATAATGTTCTGTTAAGTATTTGTTTTCTGCTTTTTCCTGATGCTAAAAAATGAATAACTTGAATAAATGAAGTGCACAGTATTCTCAAAAGTCACGTTATTAGGAACATCTGTACACTTGTTCTATCATGCAGTCATCACAAAAGGGGTCAAGGCAGTCAGCTAATTTTCACATCAAACATCAGAGTGGGAAAAATGTGATCTAAGTGACTTTCATTGTGATGTGGTTGTAGTTGCCAGACAGGGTGTTTTACATATTTAGAAACTGCTGATCTGAGATTTTCACCCAGAATGGTGCAAAAAAAACAAAATTATGTCCAGTGAGCAGCAGTTATGTGAGTGTTGATGAGAGAGTTCAGAGGAGAATGGTCAGACTGAGCTGACAGGAAGGCTACAGTAACTCTGACTCTTTACAACAGTGGTGATCAGAAAAGCACAACAAGTTGAATTTTAAGGTGGATGGGCTACAACAGCAGAAGATCACATTAATTTCTACACCTGTCAGCCAAGAACAGAAATCTGTGGCAACAGGGGTCACAGAATCTCACAGACCTCAACAACTGAAGATTGGAAAAATGTTGCCTGCTCTGAGAAGTCTGGATTTCTGCTATGACATGCAGATGGTCAGAATGTGGTGCAAATATCATGAAATCATGTTGACCATGTGCACACCTTTTATGGTCACAGTTTACCCATCTTCTAATGGCTACTTTCAGCATGATAATTTGCCATGTTACAAAGCATAAGTCTCAAACCCTTTCCATGAACTTGTGAGTGAGTTCAGTGTACTTCAGAGGCCTTCACAGTCACCAGATATGAATCCACTACAGCATCTTTGGGAGAACATGGTAGAACAGGAGATTCACAGCATGACTGCGCAGCTAACAATCTGCAGCAATTATGTGATGCAGTCATGTCAACATGGGCCAAAATCTTCAAGGAACATTTCTAGCAACTGTTTAAATCCATACCACAAAGAATTCAGGCTGTTCTGAGAGCAAAGACAGATCCAACCCAATTCTCAGTTTTTAAAACAAAATGCGGCAGAAGCTCACAAAGCGTAATTAAAAAACAAATAAAAAGACACTGAGAATTTTAAAAAGCCACATGCCTTATCTTGAAACAGGTAAAAAGGAGGAACTAAACTCTCAAACAAGAGCTCTCTTAGGCCTCTTTTACACTTCAGGGTTGAATGGCTCTGAGCATGGAACACTTAAAAACTGGGCTCAGTGCATTTCTTTTGAATACCGTTAGCTAACGAACTTGACTGATTAGTGTTGGAGTGACAAAACCTGAAATCAAACCTGTTCTGTAGTGTTTTTGCTGTAGCTTGCTAGCTAACATATACGTTTGATGCCATCCACCACAACACAGGCTCGATTCCACTGAACTGATGCTCAAAAATTCCCATTTAGAGGATAAAGACTCATATATGAGATCCCAAATTTGAATGTCTGGAATTGAAGTGACAGAAAGATAAAAAAGAATTGTTCTAAGGTGCTTTGAGCTGTACCATTATGAAGACATTATAAAGGAGGACAGAAATCACTAGTTGAAATATGAATGGGAAAGCTTGTAATGCTCAACATGGCGTCTGTTTGCAGAGAAAGTCTCGCCTTTCAGGTAAAAGAGCCAGTCAGCTTGCTGATTACGCCATGAGTGGGGAAAGCCCCTATATAAGAGAATGTTTGAAGCCCCACTCGCTGTGGAGCGCAGTAGCCAAAACAAGCCAAAAAGTGATGTATTTTGTGACACACGCTACAAACTCATTTCAAATATGTTTTTGAAACGGTAATTTGGCCATGAGTTTTAAGTATTTTGAGATAGGAGCCTGGTCTTGTATGAGTAGAAATAACTGAGTTCACAGATTTCCAGTAAGGCTCAGTTTCAGTAGCTGATGCTCAAATAACACCCATTTAGGGGATAAAGAATTTGAGAACGCGCTGAGTGTTGGAGTGACGGACGGAATCAAATATGTTTTGTGGTGGGTGGTGTGTGTGTGTAGGTATGAAACTGTTAGCAGTTAGCCGCTCTTTGTGTAGTTTTCTGTAGTATCTACTGATTCTGATTTAGCAGCTCAGCAGATGGTAAAATAAAACGTAACCGGTTTAACAAGTCCGCATCAGCGCAGAATGGCACAGTATGGCCTTGAGAACCATTTGGCTCCACAGTGGAAAAGAGGCCAAGATGAGTTCATACTATGCTGAACTCTCAAACAAGAGCTCTCTTCAGTCCTTGTTGTCATTCCTGGATGTAGTTTCCTTAAACATCGCTGTTGTCATAAGAAAACTTCGTCTCCAAAATGGTAACTTTACAGGAGGAGAAAAAAATAGTTTACTTTTAATGTAAGTCAATGGAACCAGACTTTTTTCCAAGTCATTTTGGGTGATTTCTTTTGGTCCGTTACACTTGGTTAGCTCATAACTGCTAACGTAATGCTATATGTTTTCTTCTTCTTCTTCTACTTCTTGAGTATACAAGAAATAAGAAGTTAAAAAAATAAGACGTGCATATGCCCAAGAGACTTTCCAGTAACGTTGACTATACCTGCTTTTCTTGCTTTGCACTGAATTAAAAGAAAAAAAACTTATAGTGCTGGTGTAATTAAGATGTTTCCATGCCTGACTGTTACAGAGGGAACTCTAAATACCACTACTATGGGCTGAGGATCAAAGCCAGCTCCTCTCTTCTCCGGCTGATGGAGGACCAGCAACACCTGGCCATGAGACAGCAGCCATTCTCCCAAAAACAGAGGTATTCTGTCTGTCTGTTTTACTCCTCTATGTTTTTCCCTCTTTTTTCCATGTCATTCATTCTCTCAATCATTGCTTTCCTGAACTGACATTGTCACTGCTCATACACTTTAGGTTGAAGCCAGTCCATAAAATGGAAGGAATGACTAATGGGATGTCATCAGGGACGGGACAGCAACAGCAGCAACAGGGATCAGGTCTTTCTGATATCAGTGCTCAGGTGCAGCAGTACCAGCAGTTTCTGGGTAAGTACAAAAGGCTGTACAAGCACCCGCCAGGCGTAGTTGTGGTGGGTTTGGTTGGTGCTTATATGAATTTCCAAGCTTACCATTAGTAATTTGCGCTTGAACAGTTGGGTTAGTCGTAAAGTTCCATGCTACCAGTGTTTAAAAATTGTATATCATCAGCCACTTCATTCTCTGATGGTATGTGAACTAGGGCTGAACGATTTGAAGAAAATATTTAATTGCAGTTTTTCTGGTGAATATCGTAACTCGTAAACTTCTAATTGGTTTGAGTATAATGTGCAGTTCATGAGCACTGTGTTATTGGGTTAAATTTCCCCGGTTGATACATAAGACAAAGTTGTTGACAATGTAGGCTATAATTACAGTTGCAGCACTTGCCATTTGAAAATTGGTCAAACTGCAATTTCAATATAAAAACGATAATCTTTCAGCCTTAATGTGAGCATGGTAGACCAAGCTGGCATTGATCCATCTCTGCAGATATATGTATTGTTCATGCATTACATTTACCATTTGCTGGTGACCCCCAGTCATGATTTGGTGACTTGGAAAGGTTCTGACTTTAATTGACAAGGACTGTCAAAATGCACTATTAGACTGATGATCAGGGGTTAGGAGGGTTAGGACAGGGCCAGGTGAATAGCTTTGTAAATTGTAGGCCCAGACCACTACAGATGAGGCATGTGTTAATTGGCTGAACAAAATGTAAGACAACAGTGAGGGATAAACTAAGACAGACAAACTGAAGTTAAGGAAATCCCAAGTCAAGTTTTTTGATTAACGGCTTCTGTTGCTCTTTATGCAGATGCATCCCGTGCCCTCCCAGAGTTTCCTGATATCGACTTGCAGGGGAAACCTTTGCCAGAAGGTATCGAGCTGGAGCACATTAAGAGCTTTCAACTGCTCTACAGAGAGCACTGCGAGGTAATCCCCCACTCTTGTCTCTATCCGTCTGCCTGCCTGGCAGGCCCAGTATCTTGATGGGCCAGGGAGAACACCAACCATTTGCTGCTCAGCTGCAGTCTTCACAACCGTTATCCCTAGGGTCCTAATTTCTTGAATGAATTTGACTGTTTTGGCTTGAAATGTAAGAATTAGTGGGTTGCTCTGTGCTCCTCCAGGCCATCCTGGACGTGATGGTGAACCTGCAGTTCACACTGGTGGAGACTCTGTGGAAAACCTTCTGGAGGTTTAGCGAGAGCCAGGCTGGAGACACAGCCACGCTGGCTGTGTGAGTAGGCTACTCCTAACTCACACACACACTCACATAGATATGTGATTAACTTATTTATATGAGTCAATTACATAACATGCATTTTTTGTGTTCAAGTCTTTTTTTCCTATTAAATAATTAAATAAACACATCACATATATCACATTATTCTACAACACCACCTCCAAAAAAGTTGTGATGCTGTGCAAAATGTAATTTAAAAATAGAATGCAATGACATGTAAATCATGTACATCCTATGTAGGCTATAAATACAATATTCTGCCTAAAGCATTTTTCTCTCGCAGGTTCAGGTTTCTGTTAACAGATCGATTAACCTACAAGCATCGGCACACAAGTATTTGAGCATTGAGCACAATAAAGATTACTGATATTTTCTTTTATTACCACATTTATATCACATTATAAGCATTCAACATATTGTCCTTTTATGGTTCACCAGGTATTCTGGCACAATTTCATGTTTGAAACTTAAATTCATAATATGTTGAAACATGGCAGCTTTAAAAGTGTCCAACTCATTAAAGGAGAGTAGATTGTAGATTGTCTTTTAATGTGACATAATTTCAGCGCACAGGAGCACTAGCTTACTTGTAGAATGTGTGTCAGCATTATCTGTATTTTCACTGCTACATGACCTCATAATTCAGAGGATCCAGTGACACAATTTCAGAAATACTAGCTGTCTCCCAAATCAATACATTGAATGGATTTTTACAGTTACAAAACGATACGTCTTGTTTTTTTTTCATTGTCATTTTGAAAGCCTTATTTCTCATTGACCCACATACCACAGAACTGTCCAGTATTGTAGATGTGGTTAAAAAGCACACAAATCTAAGTAATAAGCAGTTATCAGTCAACCACTGTCTTGTAGATAAGCTCACTCTAGACAGGATATGAGATTCCACTGTCAGAACGTTTATGAGAATCAGTAAGAGATTGTGGGGTAAATGATTATGTAGATTTTGGAGGGAAATTTGTGCAAATATTTCTGTTATTTGGTGTTTCAGTCACGATGAGTCAGAGAAACGGCTCCCCAAGTCATGCCTGGTGATGCTGTGTAAATATGACCCAGTGCTCCGCTGGAGCCGGGACTGCGACAACACGCTGTACCAGGGCCTGGTGGAGATCCTCATACCAGATGTACTGAGACCCATACCCAGTAAGTTATCTCTCAGCTCTGCTGAAAACACCCTTCCCCAGGCAGCCTTGCAGAAAAGTCACTGAAACCACAAACTGAAACCACTGTGCTTGAGCTGCTCTTACAACATGGCGCTACATTACACAACTACATACCAGGCTGTAGAGCAGTGGTGTCTATTTCTGGTCATGGAGGGTCAGAGTTCAGCACAGTTTTGTGATTACTCTGATTAAGTACTCCTCTTAAACCTCCTAAATATGAGTTGAATCAGGTGTGTTTGAGCAAATAAATCACCAAACTGCACTAGAAGAAGTGATGTGAAATGCTACTGATGCTACACGGTTCCATACACACCACCTGACAAATTGTTCCATTCTTTCCACCCAGGTGCCTTAACTCAAGCCATTCGTAACTTTGCCAAGAGCCTAGAGAGCTGGCTCACTAACGCCATGATGAACATTCCTGAGGAGATGGTCCGCATCAAGGTCAGAACAGCTGAACAGTTACAGCCTAGATTACAGAAATACTGAACGGCCTCATTCACCAACATTCTTGAGAAGGAATTTCTTCTTAAAACCCACTTACGCACAAATATTCTAATGTTCACCAATGTTTTCTTATTTTGGAAGAAAAAGTCCTTAGGACTTTTCTGAAGAACAAATTTAAGAAAAAACTTGGGAAGATATTGGTGAATGAGGCCCACTGTTGACGTTCAGTTCTGTTAGAAATATATATTGTTGTCCCAGACGATGACTTGCAGAGGTATGTTGTTTGTATAGTAATAAACACTGATGAGCCAAAATATAATGACTACGCACAGATGACTCGAATAACCTTGATTATCTCATAACAACAGCACATGTCAAGGTCTGGGATATATTAGATGGTAAGCAACAGTTGGTTCATGCAGTCAACTTCTGGGATGTGGGAAAATGGGCAGGCATGAAAACCTGAGTGAATTTGACAAGGGCCAAATCATTATGACCAGACAACTGGGTTGGAGCATCTTCAAAACAGCAAAGCTTGCGGGGTACTCCTGCTGCAGCACTAAGTGTCAGTACCGGCTGACAGTGGTCTGAGGAGCGACAGGGAACTAGCAATAGCATGTTGGGTGACCAAAGGTCATCATGTGCTAGAGCAATGAAGACTATCCCATCTGATCTGAACCGACAGAAAGGCCACTGTGGCTGAAGTCATAGAAATTTTTAATGATGGTTACGAGAGAAATGTGTCATGACACACTGCATAGCCACAGACCAGTCAAAGTGCCCATGGTAACGCCTGTCTACTGTCAAAATTGCCTACTAATGGGCATGCGAGCATTGGAAATGGACCTTGGAGTAATGATGAGTCCCAGTGATGGCAACAGGATGCACTTTGGGAAGAAGGCAATCCGGTGGAGGGAGTGTGAGGCCCTGGGCAATATTCTGCTGGGAAACCCTGAGTGCAGGCATTCATTTGGACGTCAATTTAAAATCTGACACCTACCTAAACATCATTGTGGACGTGGTACTCCTTCATAGCAGTGGTGTACCCCAATGGCAGTGGCTTCTTTCTGTGGGTTAATGCACCCCGCCACACTGCTCACATTGTTCAGGAATGGTTTGAGGAACATGATGATTTCAGGGTGTTGCCCTGGCCCCAAATTTACCAGATGTTAATCAGACTGAGTATCTGGGATGTGCTGCAACAAGAAGTCTAATCCGCAGCGGATCCACTTCATAACTTACAGGATTTCAAGGATCTGCTGCCAACGTTTTGGTGTCTGATAGCACATAGCACGTTCAGAGGTCCTAAGGAGTCCATGCCTCAGCAGGGCAGAGCTGTTTTGGCAGCATGCAGAGGACCAACAGCATATTAGGAATAATGATCGTAATGTTTTGGCTCATCAGTGTACGTATTGTTGACATATGAATACACTCCCCATATGGGTACCATTTGCCTCCTTTTGCTCTTCTTTTTTTCTGGCTTTCATGGTTAGAAGAAATATCTCCAAATGTGACATAAAACTTCTGTCAAATACTTACAAATACAAAAATTACATTACAAATGAAACTGTTCTCAGCTTGTTATAAATGCTATGATCATTTGTTGCAACAACAGTTATAAATAATTCTTCCTTTTTCTTCTTAATTATCGGCACATCATTATTGAGCTATTTTGCTTAAATATTTAAAGCAGCATGCAGATTAGACTAAGAATTCTTGTGACAGACAACAGAAACAAATTGCCACACTATAAAAAGTAATAAAATGTGATTTATATATGGAATACGTAAGATTAATTTCATTATTATTCTTGTTAATAATATAATCTTTAGTTTTTTGCTTTAAAATTGACACATAAATCATTAGTTATGACAAGAATATAACTAAATTATTAGTGCACTTTGTTCATCTAGTTTAAAGAATAAACTGCTGCATATAGTATATTCTGTCCAGATGCTGCCCCCCCCCTTATCAGACAGCATATACACTTAATATGTTAAGAAAAAACATGCTTTTTGTATTGAAGACATTTTGAAAATTTAGTTGTCACTAAACTTCTGACAGGTGACATATCACACTTCAATTTAAGCTTTACTGATGTGAGCTAAGGCACAGCTGTATAAAGGGAAAATCATTAACATCTGGAATACTGGGATTTCATCTATATTCTGACTGTTGCAGGCAATGACATTGTCCCTTCACCTCCTTGTTCAAGCTCAGGTAGATAGGCTGCTGCGCTGAACTGTATTGACGTTAGACTCTTCTGTTTGTGTCTAGGTGACGTGTGCGAATGCCTTCGCGCAGACCCTGCGCAGGTACACCTCTTTAAACCATCTGGCTCAGGCTGCCCGCGCTGTGCTGCAGAACACTGCACAGATCACCCAGATGCTCAGTGACCTCAACCGAGTGGACTTCGCTAATGTGCAGGTCTGCCTGAGCATGTCTGTATGTGTGAGAGTGAGAGACACTCCACAGGCCATCCCTTTTATCACAGCTCTATATATACCACTTAAATCTGTCCTGAAATATTACACTGTTATATTGTGTGATGTGATGTTGTTAGCTGTGTATTCCTTCCTGTGGAGTTTGAGTGTTTGAGTAGTTTGAGCATGATAGTCTACTTTTAGATTCTTCTTATTTTAGATCAGTATGGGTATCAACCAATACTGAAGGTTTCCACATTGGTATCAGAAAAAAAAGTGCTATTGTGCAATGTCTAGTGTCTAATAACAAAAAGAATTCTATGTTTTATTTACAGTACTGTGCAAAAGTCAGAGAGTATCCTTAATTTATTTAATTTTCAGTAAAAATGGACATCAGGTTATTCATTATTCAGGAGATATTTCTGAGGAGGTTACATATAAGTTAATCCATTTGCAGAAGTTAAAAACAAATCCTAACAAACTGGAGTTTGAAAAAACTAAGAGTCATAGAGAAAATGACATGCCTGAAAACCATGGAAAACCTGGTAGACCACCAAAATTGTCACCATCAAATGAACAGTAGCTTTTATCTGTGAGAGAGAAGCTCCGCTCTTGCTTCAGATCTGCAAAAATCCACAGATGTTTCTGTCCATCCTTCTACTGTAAGAAGATCATTCAACACCATGAGTCTGAAAGGATGTGTAGCTGTCAAGAAGCCATTACCGAGAAAAGGAAACAGACAAAAAAAGATTTGAACAGTTAAAATTGGTTAATCAAACAAAGAAGCTGCTGGTGTTCTCAGAGAAATGGACTGGCCACTGAAGAGACCAGACCTCTACATTAGTGAATGTGCTTGGGATTACTTGGATCTTGAGAAGCAGAAAATGCAACCAACTACTAAGACTGAACTTTGGAGGTATGAAAAAATATCCCTGTAGATTTCTTTAAAAACTGAAAGCACTACATGCTGAAACACTAAATACTGAAAAATATGATACTATATTTTGTTATTGATGCTTCTGTGTAAATTTCTGTTGAATATGTGTTTTTTTTTATGTCGATTTGACCATATAGTAAATAGACATTTGTACAGCACTGTATACAACACCCACTCAAAGTCACTTTAAAATAGCATTATGCAAAAAGGGAGAAAAAGGCATGGATTGGTGTTTGCCAGAGCTGAGAAGTGAAAAGTGAGAGAATGCGTTGTGTAGAGAGAGAGACTAAAAAAGTCCATCTCTATTAACACAGTCAGATCTATAGATAACAGTGCGTGACTTTTATGTCTGTGTGGGTGTGCTGACATGACCTCTGGTTTGTCAGAGCTGAGAGGGACTGAGAAAATGAACTTACATGGTGTCGCCTGAAAGCATGATGACCGACAAGAAGTTTGTCTCTAACAGAGTGATGACTCTACAGTCTCAAGTGCTAAAGCCACTGCGGGTGTTGTCCCAAAATATTTCTGGGTTTTCTGAGAAGTTCTTTCTCACGTTGTCTCTTCTTTTGATCTGACAGTTTGGACCTGACTAATATAAACATTTTGTGACCGAAACCAACACTATTTCAATAAGCTACAAACTCCAGTAACCAATAACACTGACTGATATAATTTAATATGTCCAAAAATGAAAAACACTCCAATAGTTTTAGGTGATTTTTTTCAGTTGTGAACTGTCAGATATGATCATCTGTTCTCAGTTATCACATTTTTATACTCAAACAACAAAAACTGAGAAAGAGGGTCAGTGCTTTCCAAAAACTTCTGTTAATTACCTGTTTTTGTCAGTTCTCTCCATAAAACGATTTTTTGTGTTGCACTACAAGTTTAGGATAATTTTAGATACATTTTACATATTAATCAAGATGATGTTTCGTTTTCAAATTTAGCCTGTATAGTGTTAATAAAAGGTGATGAATGTAATGATAATAATCATATAACATGTGAAAGTGCTTTACAATATGTATATTATATAATATGCAAACATAAAACAAGTAATAAAATGTTAAAATAAATAAAATGTTTTAAGCTGCTTTTTAATGTAAATATTAATTTTCATGCATAATTTTTAATAATGCTTTTTAATAGTAAGGGTAGGTTCCTGAAGAAAATGAAAGGGTCCATATCCTAAATCTTTCTTGTACTATTTTCTCCCTGTCCACTTTTAACATTTGTGTGGGTTTAATTAATCCTAATCAGTTTTTAAATGACAATTTTCTGACTTCTGTTTACACCTTAGAATTAAACAGTCTGTTTGTGTTGCTGTGCCTTTAAGACTGATATATGTGAGTAATCTTTCTTCTGATTAGCTTCTCTGTTTTATGCCTCGATCGGAAAGCAGTTCAGGCTGGAACACTCCTTAAGCGGAGCTAAAGTGCTGTAGGCTGAAAAGTGTGAAAATGTGTTTTTGTGACATCACAGAAACAATGAACTGAAATCGAGCTGGTTTCGCAGCCTAGTTTCCAGCTTTCAGATAGACTGTATTGACTGGGGAGTATAGTGTTAACATATTAAATTAGGCTCTTTTAAAAAAAAAGGAAAACTCAATTTTCCATTATACAGGCCCTTTAATGGGCACAGAGTTATATAACTTTGGTGCACAATAACAGAAAGCTGCTTCACAATAGAGGTCAGCATATATGAATTAGGCGTTAGAGATGGTGGGGCCTTCAGTGCGATGGCCACAGCTGCCCAGCAAAACACCAAACATAACTACTCTGTGGTTTAATTAACTCCTGCTTTGTTTACTGGGAATAAATGGCTGTGTCAGATATTGGATGTGTGTGGAACTGCGTGGGCCGGAGTGGGACAAATTGTTTTGTTTGTGGGCTGGAGCAGAACCGATTTTCTGCTGGAGCCGGATGAAATCTTGCAGGAGCAGGTGGGAGCGGAACTGAAAAAACAGTCCTGCGCAGACCTCTGCTTCCCATCTCCTCCCTGATTTCTCAGCGCTACCTCTGTTCATCAAAGGGGAAGTGAAGTCTTCTAGTTTAAAGTAGGAGCCACCCAAAACTCCAGGCCAAGTTCTCAGAGCATTCTCCCCTTCTACAATCATACACTCTCCAAACTAATGGTCCAAACTAGTAAAAACAATACAAAACAAGGCAGTTATACATCATTGATTGTTGGGGTGGGGAAATCATGAAGAACTATCAGTGGTTTATCAGTAGGAAAGTGTTGTTTTGGCAAGATTTCTGACAATAAATTTGCGGAACCCACATTTTCACAGATATTATCAGCCAGATGGTATATTGGTTGTGCCCTATTGATAGGATGTGTAAGCATTACTCTCTCTGTCTCTGTCTCTCCACAGGAGCAGGCTTCTTGGGTGTGCAGATGTGAGGATCGGGTGGTGCAGCGCTTGGAACAGGACTTTAAGCTGACTCTCCAGCAGCAGAACTCATTGGAGCAGTGGGCAGCTTGGCTGGATGGTGTGGTGTCACAGGTTCTAAAGCCCTACCAGGCCAGCTCAGCCTTTCCCAAGGCTGCCAAACTCTTTCTGCTCAAATGGAGCTTCTACAGGTGAATCTTGATTCCACTGAGAAAGGGTTCTGAGTTTAAAGGGCATCAGTTGAAATCAGAAGAACGATGACTCATTCATCATCGCCTGTTTGCAAACTGCTTTTTCTTTCAGTTCAATTTAGGGTGCTTTTTTAGATTAAGAAATAATGCTACATTTGAACTGCCTTAGCATGGGTTACAAAGTTATAGAATATAAGGGTGATTCCACGATTGGGGTGCCATTTGTGTCCCACAGATATAACGAGTGTGCAAGTAAAAGACACTTTAAACATAGATAAAGTGTTCTTCACAACAACCTATGTGCATATTTAAGATAAATAATTTCTTAAATATTAATAATCTATAGCTTTTTGCCTGTCCCAGTCAGATACTTTTGACCATACACTATATGGCCAAAAGTATGTGGACACCTGGCCATCCCTTTCCAAAACAATGGACTTTAATATGGAGTTGCCCCCTCTCCCTTAGCAGCTATACCAGCCTCTATACTTCTGGGAAGGCTTTCTTTGAGATTTTGGCGTGTGTCTGTAGGAATTTGTGCCCATTCAGTCAATAGAGCGTTTGTGAGGTCAGACACTGACGTTGGGCGAGAAGCCTTGGCTTGTAATTGACGTCCCAATTCATCTCGAAGGTGTTGAGGTCAGGGGTCTGTCCAGGCCACTGGAGTTCCTTCACACCAAACCATGTCTTTATGGATATCACTTTGTGCACAGGGGCACAGTCATGCTGGAACAGAAAAGGATCTTCCCCGAACTGCTGTCACAAAGTTGGAAGCTTATAATTGTATAAAAAGTCTTTGGATGCAGTAGCATTAACATTACCCCTCCCTGGAAGTATGAGCCCTAGCCAAAACCCTGAGCATCATTTGAGATGAATGATTATAGGTTATGAAAAATATACATTTTTGTGTCCCTGAACATGCACTCACCCTTGTTATCTTAACACATTCACTGCAATCACTGCAATCATGTATCTGGAAAATTCCAGGTCACATTTTCCACAAATTTCCTGAAGATCACAGAAAGAAGAGAAGTATTTTATTTTCAACAATATTGTGAAGCTGGCTGACACTTTGAAAGTTCAAACTTACCCAATACAGACTGAAAGCATGAATACATTTCATGCATTTGCTAATTTTATGCTAAAAACTGTTACTTTCAACCTTGGTACGTATTAAAGCCATTGTCAGCAAAGAGCCATTGCAAAAAACAAGACATTACTCCTGAGATGGCCCTAATCATGGAATCACCCATTAAAATGAAATAAACATTTTACATTTTAGAATCTGTAAGACAAAATGGACAACTGGTAAGCTTAAGTACAACCATTGCAACATCATAACTAAAACTAATCTTTTCCCCTTCCTCTCCTTGCAGCTCTATGGTGATCCGAGATCTCACACTGCGCAGTGCGGCGAGTTTCGGTTCGTTTCACCTGATCCGTCTGCTGTATGACGAGTACATGTATTACCTTATAGAACACAGAGTGGCTCAGGCCAAAGGAGAAACTCCGATTGCTGTAATGGGCGAGGTACATACACACAATGCATGAAATGAGAAATCTCACTTGGTCATATTGTTTACTGTAACTGAGGAACAGCGAGAGCCACATAATAAAGAAAGTTGTTATAGTATGCTTTTTGCAGGTGATAAACTTTTGGTTCTTCCTTTCATTCTTAGTTCGCAAGCCTTGGTCGCAGTCTGAATACACTGGATCCTGATAAAGGTAAACGGTCCTCCTTCTTCTTTCTCATATATACACATTTATCACTGATGTAAAAGGGGAATTCCGTCAATTTTCAGCATAATTCATTTATTGAGATGTAAACAATGTCATTCAGAGTAGTATATTGTGAAATGCTCCATTGTAGAGAAACTTCAGATTTCGATTCAGATTTCTTCACAGTGGTGGTGATAGGAACCAGGGTTCACACTGTCTACAGTGCAAATATATACTATCCAAAACAACCAGTGAACCTAAGTAAAAATTAAGTTAACACATCCTTTATAAAAAACAAACTTCTGCACAATTTAATAAACACAATTACTGTTTATTGGCTGAATTTAAAATATTGGATTAAATGGGAAATGTGGCCTGTGCAAAAGTTATGGCACATTTAATATGCTATGTGTTTTTCCCCCCAATATATTCGGTTCATATATAGAACATAATACATGATGCTTAGAAATTATCCTTAAAAATTTGCAGAACATCCCATATTTATGTTTTCCTCTGTAGAGTATGTGTTAACTTATTTTTACTTAGAAAAACAACAAAACGTAATTTGACTGGGGGTGTCCAGACTTTTGCATACAACGGTATGTAATGTTGACAACGGTGAAATAGTAATAAAACTAAAACTGAAAAATTATTTGGGGACTATTTTGACCTACAGTGTTCTGCCTTTACCCCTCCACCATAAATGAATAAAAAAACCTGTGGAATTCCCCTTTAATATCTCCCAACAACTATTGAACATTTCATGGTGGCAGATACTGTTCAGCCAACATTTAGAGATACTAAACCAGCTATTTAAGTTCAAAAGTTGGATTTACTGAAGTAGAGGCCAAAACACCTGCAGTAGAGACCAAAACAGCCCCTGTTTTTTACGTCAGTAAAGGAAACTTCACAGTTTGGTTTAGCGTGCTGGTAGCTCATCACACTCTGCTTTAGTGTGAACTTAACATGTGAAAGAGTGCTGTAGTAATGTGAGCACCACCGACTTAACAATGACAGTGGTTTGTAGGAAGTTTCAAGCCCTTTTTTAGATAAATGTGAGTAAACTGCCCACAAGCACAGCTTTTACACAAAACGTTGGAGGTTTTTATTTATTTATTTATTATTTTAATTTCAGCTTTGTAGGATTTTTACATTTAACCCCTTAAATAGTCTAGATCTGCTATAGTTTGCATTGTAGTCCATGTAGTTACTAAATAATACGACTGACGATGTCATATGCCTGGGATTTTAAAAGGGTTAAAAATGTGGCAAAAAATCTAATTTACACTTAATGACATTTGCAAAAAGGTTTGAAAATGGCTGCTAACAGTGTTTTTAGCAAGCTTAGGTACTGAACTAAATATGCATTTTTCATCTTAAAGACATTTTGATCTAAAGGCTTATACTTAAATGTCTAATCTAAATACAAATACTGTAGTTGATGCCCGTGTTCCCAAAACAAAAAATGTAAAGGGCCCATGTCATGGAAAACCACTTTTTTTCACTTTTCTGAAATAAAAGAGTGTGGTGTAGAATGTAAACATTGTTTGCAAGTTCCAAGAAGTACAGTTCACTCCACAGTCTAAAAAACTAAACTGCAAAAACAGCCAAATTTGAATTTGTTTATTTTTGTGATGTCACAAAAACCAACACGTTTACACATATCCAACTATTCAGCCTCCAGCAGTTTAGCTCTGCCCACCACCATAAGGAGTATTTCAGTCCTGACTGCTTCCTGAATGAGAATCAGAACAGAGCTAATTTACATACATGAGTCTTAAAAGCACAGCAGCAAAAACAGCCTGTTTAATTCAATCTCCAAAACTAGTAAAAGGAAAAGGCAAAAATGCTCTTAATGTGAAGAAATTTTATTCCAAGTCATTTTGGAGCATTTCTATTGGTCCATTTTGGAGCACAATATAAAGGACAACTGATGTGTTCAAATGATACAGAACAATAAAAATTAAAAACAATATTAAGATACATGTTTTTTTAAATGCCCCTCCCTCACACCACATAGTTTTCAGCACAACAAGGCCTCTTAGCATATATGCATCACCAGTCCTGCTGGAAAATCTCAGGTGGCTCATCATGAAGCTGCTTGAAAGAACAATTAAGAGTGCGTAAATCTGGATCAAGGCTAAGAGGGGCTCATTTCTACAAGAATATAAAATAGAAGAGAGATTTGTTTAATAGTTTTCCTGGTCTCTTCATAACCAATGTATTCACTGTTATTCTAAAATGTGGAAAACTAAATAAAAAAATTAGAGCTTTCTGAGTGATACCGTGTTTTCTATCACTGTATAAAAGGTTAGGCTATCTTTATTGTTGGGTGCCGTGTGATATTTTTGTGCTCATTCAGAATGCATAGCGGATCAGTAAGGGCTTATTATTGTTTTGTTTAATCAAAGTAACAATAAAACACGACTGCTGTTTGATTTATGTTCATATTCATGTGCTTTCTTGTTGACAGACTGTGTCTCTAAATGCTAAACAGCCGTGTCCCATCTGTGCTGTTAACTTGTGTTCCTCCATGCTTGTGTGTTTCAGAAGAGGAAGAGGAGGAGGAAGAAGAGAGTGATGATGAGTGTCAGGAGTTGGCGCTGCCCGCTGATGGAGCCGCTCTAGGGGAGGAGTCTCTGGAACCTCCGGCCAAGCTGGCCAGAACCGACCAGAGAGTACTGTTCAGCACGGGCAACACAGAGAACTGAGAACACATGCACTTACACACACGCACTCACACACACACCCTTAACTATACACACTCACACACCACACTGACATTCAGTATGTACACACAGTGGAAAATATGCTGCAGCCCACACAAGCCCACTCTTGTCACACAAACACTTGCTCCCTCACACAAACACACACACTGTAACAGAGGCACATATGGCAGGAGTTTACACTCACACACACTTATGTCACAATCACCGGAACAGATTAATATGGCCATATAGGGCATAGGAGTTGACCTATAGGATCCAATAGACCTCTGAAGTGTCGTCTTTCTGTAGTCAGTGTCGTGCCCATATTAGGAACTCTGGGTCTGAACTGGATTTCTCTGTGGGAAAAATGAATGGCACTTTTGACAAAACGCTGCTTTTGCACCCTGTTGTAAACAACAGTGTCCCAATGCGATATGTTTTGCTGTACAGAGAGAAACTAACTTTCTCAGGCTGTGACAGAAATGGTCCCACACACTGTGTCGTCTTCAGCCTGCGTTGATGCTCACTAGTTGCATAAACAAACTAACATGAGTTGCTTCCGAGGCTGAAGTTGTTCATAGCCGTTCATGGGCGTTACGTTTTAAAAGAGCTGCTGTAGAGTTTCTTGAGAGTGTCGAGAGATTCTTATAAGTCTCGTTTTTAGTGCCAAAGTGACCATTAGGGTTAGCTAATGTTCCTCTGCCCATTGCTTAGTAACACGAGACTCACAGTGCCCTTTATGCAGTTTGTTCAGAGGAAATTACAAGCGCATTGTGAGTTTTTATAGTGCCCTCAAAATCTCTCTGGAATTCCATTAAAAAAAAAATTGCCAACATACTCAATCATGCACTAAAATGCAAACAGAGATCCATTTTGGTCACAGCCTCAGGTTTCTTTTACAGTGGTAGTGATAGGAACCAGGCATCACGATGTCTGCAGCGCTAACATTTTAAATACTATCCAAAAAGACCAGTTAGCCTACACACATCTGTATACACAGAAGTGTGTGTGTATGTGTGTGTGTATATACACATTCACACACATACATAATGTTGATAGTGGTAAATTCCTTTGTGGTGCTATTTTGCCTTGCGTGTACCATGCTACCATGAGTGGATTTAAAAAACCTTGTCTCAGGCATCAGGAAGAGTACTTAGTGTAATAATTTTCTCTGAGGGAGCTTTTAGAAGCTCTTCGGATATCTGCTTCCTATCACCACTATCATTGTGAGCAATTCTGTAAGTTACTATAGAATGGGGCATTTCACACCAAACCATTCTGAATGAATTAATTCATAGATTAAGTGTTTGATAATACAGAACTTCAGAAAAATCAGCAGAATACCCCATAAAGGTGCTGAAATATGAATATTGCTAACAGTGCTGAGTGCTGCACTGAGATCATCAGATGTCACCTCAACAAAATACCTCATGCAAACCAGCAAGCTTTGTCAAACCAGGTAGTTAAGTTGTTTCAGCAGCAGTAGGCTACAGTTTGGGTAGCTGGTGTTGAATATAACAGTGTTGAAGTTTAGTGGTAGACTAACTTTCATTGATGTCATTTTAGTGCGCACAAACATTAACTTGCTCATGTCATTCATGTAGCATTATATGTATTCAGAGGATCCTGTGACACTTTGGCGCGTAAAATGTACACATATCAAGTTTGAAACGTTGTACACTACAGGGCACAACTGTGGCGATTTTTGAAAATGGCATTTGCTTTTCTCATAGAGAAAATCTGGAGCTCCTAAAATGGGCAAGACGCCGACTACAGAATGACACATGACTTCAGAGGCCTATAGAAATGCAGTGGAATCCTGAACTTCACTGAACACAGACACACCTCACAAACACACACAACCGACAGTATGTGTGTGGGTGTGTCAGTCAGCCCAACGATGTGTGAATGCAATGGAGAGGCTTTGTGTTCATTTCCCCACACCGGCACACAGTGCTGTGTCAAAGACAACAACAAAAACAACATCCAACAAAACACTGGAAACGAAGCCTGAAGATTCTTCTGGACACAGCATTGGGCTCAAAGTGGCCACATGAGGTTCTGTGGACGTCATTCAAACTCCTGCGGCCTACGAGGGCAAAACAGGCACATGTGGGAGACTGGCTGTAAGTGCGCGTGTGCGTATGTATGTGACGTAATGTTGGCGGCAGCCCCGCTGTGTGTTGTCTGTGTGTTTGTGGGTGCACCGGGGCCTTACTGCCGCGCTGATTTTATCAGTGTGAACGTGCGTGCTTTTTTTGTGTTTGTGTGTGTGCGCGCGTATGTCTGTATATATGTGTATGTTTGTGGTTCTCAAGAAGTGTTGATAGTTGTTTATGTTGGTGGATATTTTCAAAGGCATCCATATCTCTTTTGTTTTCGTTGCCTTCATTGAACACTACTGTGTGCTACATCCTCGTCAGTGCTGAGTAGATGCAGTTCAACTATAATGATAGGGATGTTTTTGTTTTTCCCCGTCATTGTGTCACTTTAATTCTCTCATCTCTGATTTTTTGTTTGGACATCCCTTCAGTCTCTTTGCACTGTTTTGTGCACATTTAATGGTTTGTTGTATATCTGATTCTGACCTACAGTCTCTCTTTACCAAAACTGCCTACACAGTCTCTTACACCCAGAGAGAGGGAGGGTGTAAAACTCACATTAATATTGACATGTCGATCCGCAGAGTGAACAGGGAGTGATGTGTGGATATACAGTACTGTGCAAAAGTCAGAGACCACCCTTCATTTATTTAATTTCCAGTCAAAAACAGTTATTAAGTTATTCATTTTTCAGATCAGGAAAAAAGCAGAAAACATATTTCACAGAAAAGTACACAGAAGCCTTAACAACTGAATATAATTTCTAATTTCCCCATATTTAATGTTTCTCCTTTTACCTTTTATTAAAGCTTTCATTCTCTTTAGGAGACTTGCTCTCAGTTTTTCAACGACATCTGCAGGGACTTTTTTCCACACCTCCAAAGTTCAGTCCTAGAAGTTGGTTGCAATTTGTGCTTCTCACAAGCCAAGTAATCCCAAACACATTCAGTGATGTTGAGGTCTGGACTCTGGGGTGGTCAGTCCATTATTCTGAGACCACTAGCAGCTTCTTTAGTTGATGATGCAGATTTTCTTCTTTTTTGTCCTTTTCTCAGGAACAGCTTCTTGACGGCTACACATCTTTTCAGACTCATAGCATTGAGGTGTCTTCTCACAGTGGAATGATGGACAGAAACACCTGTGGATTATTTCAGATCTGAAGCAAGAGTGGAGCTTGATTTTCTCTCTCTCTTAAATATGAAAGCTTTAAATACTGTTTTTTTTGATGATGGTCCACCAGGGCTTGCATGATTGTTAGGAGTCCCATTTATTGTGTCTTTTAGTAAATTTTTGAACTCCTATTTTGGAAACTCTGTTTTTCACTTGTTTTTTAACTTTCCCCTTCCTTAGACAAGTGGAATCTTACATCTAATTTCAGAATTATCTAAGAAAAAATTTATAATGTGTACTTTATCAGCTGTTTTGACTGGAAACTGCTAAGGTTGTCTCTGACTTTTGCACAGCGTTAGGTTTTACAAATCATTTCATTCTGTCTTTTTGACCCATTTGCCCCCATTTTTCCTAAGCAGGCTGACTCATTTTACCTTCGTTGGAACACATGTATTTGATCCTTTTCCTGTGTTGTATTGAAACAGTGTGTCACTGTAATTCTATACCTGTCTCCCTTTGACTGAGGGATCCTAAAGTACGTCACATCAGTTCTGTTTCCTACGCTACGTGTCTAGCACTATTTATTAGACTGTACATTTTGCGAGACACTGACGCAAACATTGGCTGCCCTGGTGTTGACCTATCAACAAACACAAACCAGCATGTACTCTCTCCTCTCTCCCTCAGAATCTAGTGATACAAAGACAGATAAGACATATCACACAATCTTCTGAAGAAGGCTTTCAGTACAATAGCCATTTTCATAACTGAAAAATTTCCCTTTTAAGGTCATTTCCGTTTCTTATTAAAAAAAAAAGAAGATAAAAAAAGAGTGCCAGTGTTTTATGAATCTTCTGAACCACAAGAATGATTGTGCCTTTGGAGTAATCGAATGAAATTCAAAGGTTTTTAATTTAAGCTATGAATAAAATAAGAATTTCTAAAATTGTGAATTTGTCCAAAAAAAGCCTGTTGTTCTGTTTTTTTGTCTGTTTTTCTTTATGTGTTGGAAGAAGCTACAACTGTGGCAGTTACTTCCGTCACCTTCGTGGAGCTGCTTAACAGCAAACGTGTTACATCTTGCTTCAGAAAATAGCTTGCACGTGAAGGTGCCTGATTTACAAAAGCCCCACACATATGGAGCGTGTTTTGGAGAGAGGGTTGATGCACCCACTGCCGAGAGAGCGTTTCCTCCCACAAAGACAAGATCGCACCTTTCAAGGAAGTCACTAATGAGAATGTTGCTTTGATTCTGGGTAATGGGCCTGAAAATCCCCTCAGAAAAGCAGCTCTTAGCATATCAGCAGTCGACTCATTCTCAGACAGCTCATTCTGCGTTAGCTTTACGCTGGTACTTTTATGCTGCATGACCTATTAAATCACCAGCAACTAAGGGTGGGCGGACCCGGACTTAAGTGTTGATACGTACAATCCTGATGTTTCCTTTTGAGAGCCTTCTATAAAAATAATGATAGTTGAGTTATAATTACTGCAAAGATTTTCAAATATATTTTTCAGGTTTTCTCCGTAGAAGTCACTGTGGCAAGGCTTTCTCTTAATTGTTTGTAGAAGTCTATGGTAAAAGTGTTAGTATCAGAATACTAGCCATCATACTACAAGATGAAAAAGACAGTCAGTGGTGTTGCCCATGTCTATCACCATAAGTAACAGATAAAGTTAAATCAGCAGTGATGGGATAGGGAAAAAGGGGAAAATGCCCCCTTACGAATAGTGGCCATTTACTGTAAAGCTAAACATACATGATGGTGATGCATAAACCTACACACAGTTAGGGGAAATGAACTGGAACAGCAGACAGTTTTGCTTTCATTGCACAAAAAGGGGCTTCTTGTGCCACTACTGGGGCAAGATGATCTCTACTTGGGTTAAGAAGCCCCCACTTAATTTATATGTCAAATGACCACAAGTTCAGCACTAAAATATATCTAAAAAAGTTCAGACCATGCCTTCAACATGGTGGTGGTAGTATGAGGGAAGACCGATTGAGGGAGGTGGGAGAACACTGAGAATTGGGCTGGAGTTCTGGGCAGCTTCTACGTGTAGCTAGAAGGCCAGACCCCCCTAATAGCTGTAGGAAGACTGATGCAAGACTGGGGAACAGGGAGGAGATGGGCTGGAGGTGGGGACTGCGAACGCTTCGTCTTGGGAACGGAAGGTGAGAATGTGAATTTATGAGGTGTTAGATTGGAAGCAGGAGGGGTTTCAGCCACGTCCCTCCCCCCAAACTTCAGTTATAACATAACTACAATAACGGAAATGTATATTATAAAATGAATTAAATTGTGGCCTGTATCAATTTATGTCTTAATGATTCCACTTCATTTTAAGAAACTATGACAAATGAAGGTAAAATGGAAGCGCTTGAATTGTCAGTTTTGTTCATTACTTTAAATACACTACATGTACTTATATTTAATTATTACGCCAATATTAACAATTAAAACAAATCAATAGCATTTAAAATGTAAATGGTAAGTGTTGATGATTATTAGACAGATCAAGTACAGATTGAAACCCTGGAAAACACACGAAAATTACCTTCAGCAAGGCAGCTCAAATAAAAATGTTGCCTGATTCCAGCTAACGGACGCTATAGGCAGTATGCAAAGCTAATGCTAGCCAGCCATTAAAACTCAAGGGGGGCATTTCGCCCTGTGTCAAAACAAGATGTACTGCTTCACTACAAATCACACCACCTTTATCATATATATCATATATTTTTCTTTTACTGTGCAGTGTACTAAAAACGCTTAGATCACTATTAAGCAATTAATAGATCAACTAAAAGGTTTCTAAGGGAAAAAAAACAGGGATGCAGTGATCCAATTGAAATTTCTGAATTCTGAATTAGACAATAACAATTCAGTGAATGTGTAGGGGTCATATTCGCCCCATCATTTGTTCAATAGCAAAAACAGGGTGGGGCCGGGGGTCTTCATTCAAATAGGCCCTAAAAATATCACAATACTAGCATTATCAGTTGTGTACATATATTATGTATCTTGTACACATATATTATGTACACAAGAGCCACCAATACTAAGAAAAAGGGTTAACCTTCCTAAGCAGATGTATGGAATGTGCTTTTTGTTACAGGCGAAGTCATTTCACATTACTATGTCTTGGTTACCGAGTATTAATGTCAAAAATGAACACTGTTCTGTGCATTCCTTTTCTCATTTTTTTTAAATGTTCAAGATTTTCAGAATAACGACCATAATGACAACCCTGTTATTAAAAACCAGCACAGATGAGCATGCATCCCTTGCAGGTCTATTTTCTGTTCTGGTACTGGTTTAGCCAGCATACCAGCATCCAAATCACAACATATGCTGGTTTTGCTGGTGATCAACATATCAGCTTTCTTTGCTGCTGATCAGAATCCAAAATACAGTATGGTGGTTTTGCTGGTGATCAGCCATGCTGGTTTACGTTGTTTTATCTAGCAGGGAGTTTGCAAGGAAACTGAATACAACAAGCTAATGTACACGTCCTTTCAGGGAACTGTCCAACACACAGGTGCACCCTGACCTGCTTAGCTCTAAATCATGAGTAACTTCCTTTACTGTTGTTTCCTAACGAGGGCCAGGAAGGAAAGTTACAAAAAAAAACTCCTTCCTGTCACACAGTCATTCACAGCAGGTTACAGTGATGCACTGAAGTCATAACTGCCGCCTGTAGAGGGCAGCATAACACTAGCATTGAAATTCTATCAGCCTGAAAGGCAGCATTAATCCCGAATCTCAGCTTGAGTGTGAAGTTGCAGGAGTGACAAATCACTGCTTAAACAATGCTCACTGAGAGTGGGATAGGGGGGTTAGTCGGGGTGCTGTTTTATTTTTCCCTTTTCAGGAATGTAATTCTACTTCCCTGAAGAACAGTTTAAGTGTAACCATCTTCTATTTAACATGAAAAAGCAGTATGTGGATTTTCATGCTACAATACCAGAGAACTACCTGAGCTTATGTGCAAGTGCCACCTAGTGGCAATTCTCTGGAGCACAGCATCGTTTGAATGACCCACAGAGTCATAAAACAGCCATGAAGCAAAGAAAAGATGACAAAACGACAGCATTAAGACACAAAACCGATTTAAAACACCAGACATTAAAAAGAAATACAATACAAATAGCCAAAAAAGAAAGTTAGTTTAGTTAAAAACTAAAAAATCCTAAACATTAAAAAAACATTTGTTGTGCATTTGTGGATACTATAAAAAACTTACAGTTCTACAAGTCTCTTTAAGACATAACATTAACACAGCAGCACTGAACAAAAAGGAACCTAAAAATGCAGATTTTTAAAATTTTTAAAAAAGTTTTTTATAATTTCTTCATAATTAAACAAAATTGTTATGACAATCTTCGATTAAGTCATTCAGAGTGATTTGATGTGAAACATTGAAGAGAAACTTACTGACTCACAGATGGTGGTGATATGAACTAGACGTCCAAAGCGCTTGCCTGGAACCTATTTTTAAAATAGTTTTGAGATTACAAATACCAGCTTTACATATTTTGTATATCCATTCATGGTGGAGAAATACATGCAGGTTCACTGGTCATTTTGTACAGTAAATAAAATGTCTTTGGATTTGTATTTGGAGTGTAAACATCATAGACATGCGAGTCTGTCATTTTCTCTATGATTAATTTAATTTCAAAACCACTCTAAATGACTTTGTTTACATCTCTACAATTGAATTATAAAATTGAAACTTATTTCCACTAAATGTGTTTATGTATTATTAGCCTTAGCCTTAGCTTGCCATGTGAGTGCAGATGAGTTTGTTAAGCTAGAAAAGTAGAAATTTGGAATTACTGTGTGCTCTTGGAAAAGTAACCACAGGTTCCATTCATATGAACACAATTCAACCTTACTTAGGTCACTACTGTGAACGGCCCATAGTGGCCTGAAGCGCTTCACTTGCAAGCAACTTTAAAACACAGCTTTTTTAGAAATGTTTCAATTTGTTTAGTGCTGTTGTGTCTTAGTATTAACATGCTGCCACTTAATATTTCAGTGTTGTACAATTTTGGTTGTTTCCACAAATGTTTCATTCCTGATAAAGTATATAAATATATTTGTGTTGTTCATTAATGTTGTTTTGTAATCTTTTATCTGCTTAGCAGTTTGTTACAACTTGTTATGAGCCATTGTGTTATGACTCCATGGGCCTCCGTAATAGTCCAGTCCTAAAAGAAACACTTGTAGGCTTACACACACACACACACACACACACACACACACACACAGACACACACACACACACACACACACACAAACACACACACACACACACACACACACAAACACACACAAACACACACACACACACACACACACACAGATATCTGAGAGATGCAGACACCACTCGTAGACCCAACAGGTGGATCTGGCAGAAAAAAAAACAACAAACAACATGAAAAACAGAAATGGAAGCTGGATCTACCAGATCTACCAAACATGACCACTAACCTTAAGAAGTATGTGCAAAACCAAATTCCTGAGAAGTACAAGAGGTGAAACTATAATAGTGAACTACATTAATCACTGTGCACTATTACCTACTGAGCAATGGGTAATAGTAGTGACTTAAGAAACAGTCCTACTGAAACAGTCCACTTTAAAAACAAATGATGGTTCAATGGTTCGTTAGCAAAGGGAATGGTTCTATTTAGGACCACCTCTTCTAATTAGTGAATTCAGTTACAGTGAGGTGCACCCACTGCGGATACAGGCGTTCAACTGCACGCACACATCTGGTGTACTCTTCATAGAAAAGCACTGTCAAGTAGCTGCACATGAGCCAAAGGTCACCATGCCCAACGTTAAACATACTGTCCAAATACCTTAAACATGATTCCTAGGTAGGTAATATTTCTCTTCACACTGAACAACAGAAACAAACCCCCTCCAAACAAAGAGC